TTTTGTATTTTTAGTAGAGACGGTGTTTCACCATGTTGACCAGGATGGTCTCGATCTCTTGACCTCATAATCCACCTGCCTCGGCCTCCCACAGTGCTGGGATTACAGGCTTGAGCCACCGCGCCCGGCCAATTGTTAGATTTTTAAAGAGTATAAAATGTTTTGAAAATTCTGAAGTTCTGAATAGCTTGTCTGTGAAATATGAAAATTGATATATTTCATCACCTACTATGTACCATACCTTGCGCCTAGAGTAGTCACATACGTCATTTAACCCTCACAATAAATTATCTCCATTTTACATATGATAATCACTTTAACTGCTCCAGTATCTTCCCTCAGACATTCCAAAACAATGCAAGATACTAACACGTAAAATTCAAGATATATTGTAAAACAAGGTATGTCCAAAGTTCTCATCACAGTATCACATGTAATAGCAAAATATTAGAAATAACCTAAGTGTTTACGAATGCAAGATTGAAAATATGCAGCTGTAATAAAGAATGAGGAATGCCTGTATAGATATGGAACAATATACAAGGTAGGATAATACACGGGACAAGCAAGTTGTAGAAGAAATGCTACCTTGTATGGAATCAATAGCATGCCTCTGTTTGTGGTTGGAGAGGGAGAGAGCGTATATATGCTTGCATGTATGTACACAAAATAATTTTTGGAAGAAAATACAATAAATTGATAATATAGGTTGCTTCTGAGGAATGGCTAGGGGATTCCAGGTAGGGAGATTATCCACTGTGTACCTTTTTGTGCCTTTTGAATTTTGAGCCAACTGCATTTACTACCTATTAAAAGAGATGTAAACCCAATTAAAATAAAAGAAACAAAGTATACTTTTCTAGAAATGAAAACAAAGACAAAAAGGCACTCTGGGCTGTGTGCATTTTGTGAGGACGTGGGCTGTACCTGCCGATCCCCGCAGCACCCCAGAGCCTAGCATAGAATACACCTAGGCATTTGTGCAGTCAGTGAGCCAAGCTAAAAGAAATAAAACAACTTGAATTCCTCTATAGGAAGGACACAACATCTCCTCTGTGGTGTCCCTGCTAAAAATACGTATCCTGAATCTAACCATGAAGAAACATCAGACAAACTTAAATTGAGGAACATTCTGAAAAATAAATGGCCTGATGCATTTCACAAATGTCAAGGTCACGGCAGACAGACCAAGAAAGAGCAGGGAACTGTCTGGGATTGAAGGAGGCTGAAGGGCAGGCCAACTCAGCGTGCTGTGTGCAATACCAGATTACATCCCAGGACAGGAGAAAGAACGTTGTATTCTTTAAAGGACATTCATTAGGCTGGGCGCGGTGGCTCAAGCCTGTAATCCCAGCACTTTGGGAGGTCGAGACGGGTGGATCACGAGGTCAAGAGATCAAGACCATCCTGGTCAACATGGTGAAACCCCGTCTCTACTAAAAATACCAAAAATTAGCTGGGCATGGTGGCGCGTGCCTGTAATCCCAGCTACTCAGGAGGCTGAGGCAGGAGAATTGCCTGAACCCAGGAGGCGGAGGTTGCAGTGAGCCGAGATCGCGCCATTGCACTCCAGCCTGGGTAACAAGAGTGAAACTCCGTCTCAAAAAAAAAAAAAAAAAAAAAAGGACATTCATTAGAGTTGACAATACTTGAATAAGGTCTGTGAATTAAGTAATAGTACTGTTTCAGTGTCAACATCATCATTTTGATAATAGTATTGCGATTATAAGAAAATCTTGGCCGGGCGCAGTGGCTCACACCTGTAATCCCAGCACTTTGGGAGGCCAAGGCAGACGGATCACCTGAGGTCAGGAGTACAAGAGCAGCCTGGCCAACCCCATCCCTACTAAAAATGCAAAAAATTAGCCGGGTGTGGTGGTGGGTGCCTATAATCCCAGCTACTTGGGAAGCTGAGGCAGAAGAGTTGCTTGAACCTAGGAGGCAGAGGTTGCGTGAGCCGAGATCACACCATTATACTCCAGCCTGGGTGACAGAGTGACTCTTTTTAAAAAAAAAAAAAAAAAAAAAAAAGAAACTTTTTTTGTTTTTCGGAATTAGGCACTTAGGAATTTAAGAGTAAAGGGGCATTGTGTTGGCAACTTACTCTCAAATGGTTCAGGTGAAAAAAAGAGAAAAAAGGAATAATAAAGTAAACATGGCAAAATATTAACATTCAGGGAATTTGAGTGAAGAAATACAGGAATTCTTTATACTATTTTGACAACTTTTATGTCTGAAGTTATTTCAAAATAAACAACTTTAAAAAAAGAGTTCCTACACAGAACGTGTTATGACTTATTTTATTTATTTATTTATTTATTTATTTATTTTTTAAAGCAGGGTCTCTCTGTGTTGACCTAGCTGGCTTTGAACTCCTGAGCGCAAGGGATCCTCTGCCTCAGTCTCTTGAGCAGCTGAGACCACAGCTGTGCGTGACCATGGCTGTCTCTGATTTTGTAATTACTGAGCCTTTCATGTCCTTTATACAGTTTTTTAGCTTTCTTCATATAGATCTTTAGATGATTGGTAACAACTAACTTACTTTTTTTCTTTCTTTTTCTCTCTCTTTCTTTCTTTCTTTCTCTTTCTTTACTCTCTCTCTCTTTTCTCTCTCTCTTTCTTTCTTCCTTTTTTTTTTTTTTTGAGACAGAGTCTCACTCTATCACCCATGCTGGAGTGCAGTGGCGTGATCATCTCGTCTCACTGTAACGTCCACTTCCCAGGCTCAAGCGATCCTTTTACCTGAGACTCCCCGCTACTCGAGTAGCTGGGACCACAGGTACACACCACCACACCTGGCTAATTTTCGTATTTTTGGTAGAGATGGGGTTTCACCGTTTAGCCCAGGCTGATCTTGTTCTCCTGGCCTCAAGTGATCCGTCCTCCTTGGCCTCCCAAAGTGCTGGGATTACAGGTGTGAGTCACTGCGCCCAGCCTATTCCTTTCTTAATACTTTTTGTTTCTTTAAATAATGGTTTGATTGAGATATAATTTACACAACATATGAAACTCACCCTGAGTATCTTTGTGTATATTTTTAAATACTACTGGTATATGAGGAAGGTATGCTTTAAAAAAATCAACTTTATTAGGGTATAATTTAAATGTAATAAAATTCACATAATTTAATAGGTTGATGACTTTTCACACACATATTCTTTATGTAATCACTACCCCAATTCAGACACGACATACAGGATATTCCCATTTCTCCATAAAGTTCCTTCGTGCTCCTTTCTTTTTACATTCACCTGTTGGACATGGCATTTTTTCAAGTCCCCCCAAATGGGGATTGGAAGAGTAGGGTGCATGCAGGGTGAATGAGTGTGGTGGGGGCGCTGTAGGGTGCGGATGAGAATGACAATGTTGAGGCGAAGCAGGACCAGGCACCTGGATGGCTCAGAAGAGGGACATGGCATCCTCTGTTTTCCAGAGATGGGCACAGACTTTGGAAGTTTGTGTGCCTTCTCATTTTCTTCGTTGGTCTTTATTCTCGTGTTGTGGGTGCTGCTCTGTTAACACAGCAAATGTCAAGTGGACTTTTAAAATACCAACATTTTATCATCATCAAAAGGAAACACTGACTACCTTAAGAAGCCTATTTTGGGAAGAAATAAGGCTTTAACATGTGGATATTGTTCACATTGAAGTTTAGTAAGGCTTTTTGATTTGGCCACTAATCACCCCAGCACTGACCATGTGAGAAAAAAAAAAAATGTGTATTTGCATTCACCAAATTTTTTACACAGAAAATGTAGCTCCCTCCACTTGCCACTTTTCCCTCATCTTGAGACTTACTATTTAGCTGTTCATTTTGAGTAAATGTGGTATGGGAAGTTAGTGTCCACAAGGAAAGAGCCTGCATTTGGCATCTGAGAAACTCATTCTCCTCATGAGAACTAAGATCACCTTCAATATTTTTAATGAGGATTGCATTATACAAACATGCACATATATGTATACACAAATGTATATGCAAAATATATAATTTTATAAGATATATATACACACACACCCCCAATAAGTGTTTAGAACATAGCAAGCATGTAATACATTATATCATTACTATTATTATTACTTTTTGAGATGGAGTCTTGCTCTGTCACCCCAGGCTGGAGTGTAGTGGCTCGATCTTGGCTCACTGCAACCTCCACCTCCCAGGTTCAAGCGATTCTCCTGCCTCAGTCTCCCAAGTAGCTGGGATTTCAGGTGCCCACCACCATACTCGGCTAATTTTTTTTGTATTTTTAGTAGAGACGGGGTTTCACCATGTTGGTTAGGCTGCTCTTGAACTCCTGACCTCATGATCCACCTGCCTTGGCCTCCCAAAGCCCTGGGATTACAGGCGTGAGCCACCGTACCTGGCCTGTTATTATTATTTTTTAATTTCTTTTTTTTTAATAGACATGGGGTCTCACCATGTTGACCAGACTGGTCTCAAACTCCTGGCCTCAAGTGATCCTCTTATTTTGGCCTCCCAGTGAGCTGGGAGTGAGTGTGATGGCTCATGCCTGTGATCCCAGCACTTTGGGAGGCCACGACAGGCAGATCACTTGCGCTTAGGAGTCTGAGACCAGCCTGGCCAACATGGTGAAACCACATCTCTACCAAAAATACAAAAAATTAGCTGGGCATGGCTGCTCGTGCCTGTAGTCCCAGCTGCTTGGGAGGCTGAGGCAGCATAATCGATTGAACCTGGGAGGCAGAGGTTGCAGTGAGATCTTGCCACTGCACTCCAGCCTGGCGACAGAGTAAGACTCCATCTCAAGAACAAAAACAATCCCCTTCCCCCAAAACCCCCAAAGAGCTGTGATTACAGGCCTGAGTCACTGTACCTGGCCCATATTGTTATTACAAATAATTTCTTCATTTTTACGTTTTTTTGCCCAGGTGTGTTGCTTTTTGACAAAGCTTTCTTTTACTCTTTGTGATTGAAACTGTAATCTATTAAAATGTATTTATCTACTGAAAGTCTTGGTTCCTTTTCTGTGTTTTCTCAGGCACGCTGCAGACAGACCTTTCTGTCCTTCATGAACACACGTGTGGTAGACAGATGACTGGCCTCCACCTGGTGCTGCTCTAGGTGTGCCAGTCGTGGAGCTGTCCAGCTGGGAGAAGATGGATTCCAAAGATGAAAGCTCGCATGTGTGGCCTTCGCCTGCGGACCATGAACAGAATGCCACACAGGTGAAGACTGGGCTTTTCCAGCTTGGTATCAACAGGTTTTCAGCTGGACATAGTTTGCTGCAGTAAAGAAATACAGCTACTACCTAGTAATGAATAGTTGGGAGGAGCCAACATGAAGCACTCGTACACAAGGAATAGGGACTGTTTTGGCACCTTGAATGCTCCATTGACATGGCTCACCATGAGTTAGGACAGCTGGACCACCACCTACAGGCTTCTCCGCCTTGTCTGCAATTTACAAAAATTTTACAAAACTCTGTTTTACAACCCTACTTTATTTATGTTATTGGTGCTGAAAACCCCAAACTGTAGTTTGTTTCTTTTTTCTCTTTCTTCCTTTTTTTAAACGGAGTTTCGCTCTTACTGCCCAGGCTGGAGTGCAATGGTGCGATCTCAGCTCACCGCAACCTCCACCTCCCGGGCTCAAGTGATTTTCTGGCCTCAACCTCCCGAGTAGTTGGGATTACAAGCATGTGCCACCACTCCTGGCTAATTTGGTATTTTTAGTAGAGACAGAGTTTCTACATGTTGATCAGGCTGGTCTCGGCCTCCCAAAGTGCTGGGATTACAGGCATGAGGCACTGCGCCCAGCCTGTTTTCTTTTATGTTATCCATAAGATTTTGGTCTTTTGTGTGTAATGAGTACAGGTATGTCTGTAAAGTGAGTGGCCTTTTCTTTTCTTTTTAAATTCAGAATGTAAACCTCTAAGTGAAAGTTGTTCCATTATGAGTCAGCCGTTTTAGAGGTTAGTCACTTAATCAAATGCTGCTGTCATCGATGATCACTGCCTTTCAGGTTGCTGCTAGAACCAGCCACATGTTATTTTGACTGTTCTTAGCGAAGTCAAATCTCTGCATTTTTGGTATGAAATTGAATTTTGGGATGATCAGCAGTCATATGGAGCCATGTTTTATATGTGACTGAGTATAAAACTTAATTTTTAAATATTAGATATACAAATTTAATGTTTTATTAGATTACATAACCACAGTATTAGTGTCAAAATCAAGAAGTTACATTGAAACATTTAAGTATGTAGATTCTATTTAATTTAAGCAATATAATAATAAATAAAACTGGTATGATTAAAAACTCTCCGTATGGGCTGAATATGGTGTCCCATGCCTTTCCCAAAGTTTGGGAGGCCAAGGCAGGAGGATTGATTCAGGCCAGGAGATCGAGACCAGCCTGGGCAACAAAGCGAGGCCCTGATTCTAGGTACACACACACACGCACAGGTGCGCAGTCATAGCTCCAGGAAGTGGCGGCTGCAGTGAACCATAACTGCACCACTACACTCTAGCCTGGGTGAAAGAATGAGGCCCTGTCTCTAAAAAAAAAAAGTAAGTAAAGTCTTAGTCTGATTGCTTAAAAATAAAAAAGTCGCACAGATATTTTCAGCAGAGTAAATGAGAATTTTGTTTTGTTTCCCCTGGAAACCATTTTGAGGCCACTTCCTTGCAGCTATGTATTTTGGTGTATTTTGTTTATAAATGAAATTATAGTTCTTCAAAAAGCAAAACAAAAGAAAATCTGCTTGTGATGCTGCATGACCAGGGCCCTGTCTGTGGGTAACGACACAGTGGATAGCCAAGGTCAGGGTCCCTGTGGCACTGCTTCCTCCCAGATGCTTCTTCTGCCAACCGGGAATTCTGATTTAATGAGTGATGAAGACCAAGCAGCAAAGCTTGGATAGCTTGTCTGAAGGAAACATATTTTCCCTTCTTAAGCACTGAAACTAGTTCAAGGCTTTGATGTTAATGAACAAATCTAAAGTCACAAAACTGTCTTATAGCAATTAAGACAGCTCAAATAGGAGCCTAATTTTTCTAATGGACAAACTTTATTTTCTTGGACAAATCAAATTTATGTGGAAGCCAGACTAATCATTTAGGGTAGACATGGAAGTTTGTTGTATTTCTGTGGTGTTTGATTACATTTTGCCTCTTAGGTTTCCTTCTGGGGATTAAATTAGTACATATTATCTTTGGGATCTACTATCCTTCACTGGGGAAAACTGACATAAAGAAGTCAGGCCCAAAGCCAAGACAGTATAAGAGCAAGGATTCCACTCTAAGAGTGTCTGACTTCGACAGCAACACGTAAATTATTCTTCTCCCAAATGTGTGCTTTGGCCATCTGCTTCCAGACCTTCAACAGCAGACATCAGGCCGTGTGCCAAGCTCAAGCCTTTAGTAATTCAGTCCTCCAAAGTTGACCACTCAGAAAATATTTTACAAAACTCGCTATCTGTTTTAGTTCCTTAAGTCTTGGGAGGAAATTATTTACCCCAGTGGCAGCTGAAATAGTTGTCCAGAACACCTTAAAAGTACTTATGTGTCTTCACCTACCTGGCAAGGAAGAGTTCTGGTCCGTTCATTGATTCAGCAAACATTTACTGATACACCTCCAGTATGTCCTTTGTGTACAAAACAACTTGCAGGAAAGAAAGTGACCTTATTTATTTATTTTTTGAGACGGAGTTTCACTCTTGTCACCCAGGCTGGAGTGCAATGGCGCCATCTCAGCTCACTGCAACCTCCGCCTCCTGGGTTCAAGCAATTCCCTTGTCTCAGCCACCGCCGAGTAACTGGGATTACAGGCGCCTGCCATCATGCCTGGCTAATTTTTACATTTGTTTAGTACAGATGGAGTTTCACCATATTGGCCAAGCTGGTCCTGAACTCCTGACCTCAGATAATCCATCTGCCTCGGCCTCCCAAAGTGCTGGGATTATAGGCATGAGCCATCATGCCTGGCCGAAAGTAACTTTATTTTAATGTGTTCACTGAAAGGCACTATTAGTTATAAAGTGGAATTCTTATGATGTGTTGAGAGCAATTGGCTTTTGAGTCTTGACATATTTTTTCACATCACAAAGTAATTTGTATTTTTTATTCTGGTAGTGTTGTCAAGCAGGAATCTTCAGTGTCGTTTCCAGGATCGATTAACCAAGCCCTTGTTACTCCTCAAAAGAGTTATCTGCATTGGACATTTGAGGCAAAGGGGAATATAAGTTGGTTGCCTAACATTTAGCAGTAAATCAACGACAAGGTCCTTGGGTCCTCCTCTAGTCACCAGCTCACTGAACATGAAGGTGTATCCATCCCCATTCTCCTTTCATCGGGGATTAGAAGCCCAGGTATGCTTGTTGATCACTTACCTTGTGAAACTGACTTGGTTCTACGTCCTTGCCTGCTTTTTACACCAGGTGCACTTTGTTCCGGACACTGGAACGGTGGCTCAGATCGTCTACACTGATGACCAGGTTCGCCCACCCCAGCAGGTGGTGTACACGGCAGATGGTGCCTCCTACACATCAGTGGATGGTCCAGAGCACACGCTGGTGTACATCCACCCGGTGGAGGCTGCGCAGGCATGTGAAAGATTATTTGTTTATAATTTGTTAAGTAACTAATTAGCCAATTACTTGTGTTTACTTTCTGTCAGTCATTGTGCTAGGTACTGGTGTGCAGAACATATTCAGATAAGATTTGTGCTCTCAAGGAGCTTGTAACCCCAGCTTGGCAGAGGAAGATGTGATTTATGTCTCCACACTAAATGCAATAAGGAGTTAGAGCATGGGTTTGCATATAGCTCTTCTCTCCGGTGACTGTTGACTAGGTTATGAGTTTGTTATTATACCTAAGTATCAAGAACCAGGCCAAAATGTGTAAGAAAGGATCCCGCTAAGCTCATTAAGTACCGCTTCTTAGTAACTTACTGATTTGCAAGCCTGTAATAGAAGCAAAGGTGTTTACTGGTAAAAGCCTTACAATTACATCTGCTTTTATTTTTTGCCAGTGACTTGCAGTATAGCTTCCAAATGAGTGACACCAATATCCCCCAACATGTAAATGTTAATTTACATTATTAGAACTTTACAACATATAAAGTACTTTGAAATGTATATCTTTACATATATACTTTTATAGTAGCATTTTGGTAATGAAAATTTGCCCTCATTTGATATTTCATAAAGAGGCTCGGCTCACTCCACAAAAGAAGTGAGGCCTGCCTAATCAGTGCCTTTCAAATCTACATATAGAATCACTGAATACTTAGTGGTACTTTTGGAATATCTCTGCTTAAGTTTTAGTCCCCTGCCTATATTGAAATAATATTAGTTTATATAAGAATTTCCTTTGACCAACTTTTAGTTTGTTGCAATGTTACTAAATGTCTGAATTTGGATAATTTTTATTTTATTTACTTATTTTTATTTTTTTGAGACAGAGTCTTGCTGTGTCTCCTAGGCCGGAGTGCAGTACTATAATCTCAGCTCATTGCAACCTCTAGCTCCTGGGTTGAAGTGATTCTCCTGTCTCAGCCTCCCAAGCAGCTGGGACTACCGGCACCCACCACCACAATGAGCTAATTTTTGTATTTTTAATGGAGATTGCTTTTGCCATGTTGGCCAGACTGGTCTCAAACTCCTGACCTCAGGCGATCCTCCTGCCTTGGCCTCCCAAAGTGCTGGGATTGCAGGCATGAGTCACCGCACCCGGCCAGATTTTTAAAAACTTTAGAAGAAAGGACACTTTTCTGGATTAGAGATATTAATTAACTGTGGCGCCCTGGCTATAATAGTTTTGAAGAATTTTCTCTAGTTAGCTTTGCTGCATCATGACCCAACTTACTGCATCTTTATGATGATTAGTATTTTTCTTTTAATTATGACTTTACTGACTATCCAAAAAAGAACCCATGGAACATTCAGTTCAATTTATTTTTCTTCTCTTCTGATAACAAACATACACTTACATTGGAAATAGCTGTAATCCTTGAGTATATAATCCTCTTCTGTATGCCTGTCTGTCTCCATCAATTTTCATTTAATCACAAGTCTACTCCTGTGAGTAGTGTTATGTGTGAATGTGTGAACCCTTGTTCATGTCATGTCTCTTTTGTTTTCATGAGATGCCTTTTTAACTGTGACATTCAACCCCAAGAGGGGCTTTGCTTCAAAGTAAAATTGTGAAGTAGGTTAGCCATTGGATTGTTAGCTTATGCAGTCTCTTTGGAGCCATCTGAATGAAAGGCTTTCACTAAATTTAAGATTACTATCTTTATTTTCTTTATTAAAGAAAGATTGTTACTAGCTAAAATGGGAGTTAACTTTTCTAAAAATCGGTACTTAGCTTAGCAGTAGGATAATCTTTCTGTGTAGGCAGGCTAGCTAAAGATCTACTGTTAATTTTTTTTTTTTTTTTTTTTTTTTAATTTAGACTCTGTTTACAGACCCAGGCCAGGTAGCTTACGTCCAACAAGATGCTACAGCTCAGCAGGTAATGAATTGCCTTTTTTCTTGTTTGGGGATAACTCTGTAAATGCCACTGTGCCTGGAATGTCCCCATCCCTTTGCGCTGCGCCATCTCTGGATGTTTGTTTCTCATGTACTAAGAATGTTCTTCAGCTCCTTTATTTTAAATATTTTTTTCAATTCCTTAAATTCCTAAAAAAGCTTAAAAAAAAAAAAAAACAAAATGTAACATAATACTAACATATTTCAGTAAGTATATATTGGAATAATCTGGCAGCAGAAACTGATTTATCAGAGAAATTTTTAAAAATAAGAACATAAACAGGGCATTTGTTCAAGCACCAAAGAATAATCATGAGATTTAAAAGTGTCTCTTTTTTTTGAAATTGGGATAGTTTTTGTCCTTGCTCTATTTTTAAATACTGAAAAAAATCCTGCTTAAATTACATATAAATTTGGAAAAGTTGAGTTCTTCTTGGTTTTCTGTTAAAACACTTTTTTCCCATTACCTTCATTCCTAATATATTCTATTTGGCTTTGACGACCTCCTCCTTATTTTCTGAAAGAATGTGAAAGTGGTAAAGAAGGTGTGGGAGCAGCTGAGCACAGAGGCTTACGCCTGTAATCCCAGCACTTTGGGAGGCTGAGGTGGGAGAATTGTTTGAGACCAGACTGGGCAACATAGGGAGACCCCATCTCCGCAAAAATTTAAAAATTAGCCTGTGCACTCCTGTGGTCCCAGGTACTTAGGAAGCTGAGGTGGGAGGATCCCTTAAACCCAGAAGTTTGAGGCTGCAGTGAGCTTTGATTGCACCACTGTACTTCAGCGTGGGTGGCAGAGTAAGACCCTGTTTCAAAAAACCAAATAGGTTTACTTTCATGTCAGGTAATGTGACTGTAATTTGTCTGTATTACTGAGTGCCATGACTTATTAATAATTAAATTATTCTCATTAAGAAGAATTTTCTGGCTGGGCGTGGTGGCTCACGAGTGTAATCCCAGCACTTTCTGAGGCTGAGGCAGACAGAACACTTGAGGTCAAGTGTTTGAGACCAGTCTGGCCAACAGGAAACCCTGTCTCTACTAAAAAAAAAATACAAAATTAGCCCGGGAATGTGGCAAATGCCTGTAATCCCAGCTACTCTGGAGGCTGAGTTGGGAGAATCACTTGAGCCTGGGAGGCAGAGGTTGCATTGAACTGAGATTGCAACCACTGCACTCCAGCCTGGGTGACAGAGCAAGACTCTGTCTCAAAAAAAACAAAAAAACAGGCTGGGTGTGGTGGCTCATACCTGTAATCCCAGCACTTTGGGAGGCCAAGGCAGGTGGATCACCTGAGGTCAGGAGTTCGAGACCATCCTGACCAATATGGTGAAACCCCCATCTCTACTAAAAATACAAAAATTAGCTGGGCATGGTGGCTCATGCCTATAATCCCAGCTACTTGGGATGCTGAGGCAGGAGAATTGCTTGAACCCAGGAGTTGGGGGTTGTAGTGAGCTGACATTGGGCCACTGTACTTCAGCCTGGGCGACAGAGCGAGACTGTGTTTCAAAAACAAAACAAAAAATGAAAAAAACCCTTGTGTTTTCTAGTTCTGGCCATTGAAATAGTTTAGACACAGTGATCAACCCAGTAGCAGTGAGTATCCCTAATGCTACGATGTGCTCTCTTAAATACAGTTCACCAGCAAAAGGAATTAGGGCTTCTTGGAGAAATGGCAGATTCTAGCTCCAGGGCAGGGAATGTACCGATGAACTTGGAGCATGGTGTCTTCTTTGAATGCAGGGCTGCTATTAAAAACTTCTGGTTTCCTATGGCAAGAACTTGAAGGGGCCAAAACGGGTCAAATTGACTTGTAAAAAAGGATAACATCTGCAATAGATTGAAGTGCTTACATATACGTAGTCTACAAGTTCATACTGATGCTAAAAGAAATAACTCATTGGTCACTTTTTGAGGATGCTAGAATTTACCATATTATTCTAAAAACTGGTAAATGGAGAAAAAGAATCCTGCCATTCTCCTTGAAGGTACTCAGGTAACCAATTACTTGCTGAGGGAATTTTCTTTATAGAAACATTCTTACTAATAAATAAAGAGGGGATGATTGACTTAGAATATCACCATTTTGCAGCCCCTAATGACACAACCTAGGCAATGATTATCAACGGTAGTCTGAAACCATCAGGAAAAACCTAGGGAATGGTATAATGGATAGATCCGAGTGTTAACAACTTAATCCTCTGACCGTTCTTATGTCACCAACAGAGAGACAGCCATTCATGATATGCCTCCTGGTATTATCTAATTCCTATTGCATTATACCACATATGAAGTATTCGTCCCAAAAAAAACCAGAATCTGATTGTCTACATTCAAGTACCAGCTAGGAAGCATGGTAGACAAAATGGAACAAATTAAAAGATACACACAAATGCAGTCAGCAAAACCAGCCTGCGGGCGATTTTCTAGGACAAATGGTTTGGTTTCTTTTACAAATAAATTGCAAGGGAAAAGAAGAGGAAGGGGAGCTTACATATTAAAGTCAGAGGCATATCAGCTAGATGCAATATGTGGACCTCGTTCGGATCGTGATTTGAACAAGCCAACTGTAAAACAATATATGAGGCAATTGGGGAAATCATAACACTAAGTCAATATTTGATAGAATAAGAAATGATGGCCGGGTGCAGTAGATCACGCCTGAACTCCATCACTTTGGGAGACTGAGGCAGGCGGATCACCTGAGGTCAGGAACTGGAGACCAGCCTGGCCAACGCGGTAAAACCCCGTCTTTACTAAAAGTACAAAAATTAGCCGGGCATGGTGGTGGGCACCTGTAATCCTAGCTATTCAGAAGGTTGAGGCAGGAGAGTCACTTGAACCTGGCAGTCGGAGGTTGCCGTGAGCCAAGATCACGCCATTGCACTCCAGCCTGGGGAACAAGAGTAAGACTCCGTCTCAGAAAAAAAAAAAAAGACTAATTTTTTAGGTATGATAAGGTAAGCAATCCAAAAGTAATTTCATTTTAGAGATATATGCTCAACTATTTACAGATTTTGCTTCAAAATAATCCAGTGAGGGAGAAAGAAGGTGGGAGATTAGTTGAAATAAGATTGGCCATGAATTGGCCAGGCATGGTGAATTACATCTATAATCCCGGCAGGTTGTGAGCCTGAGACAGGAGGACCACTTGAACCCAGGAACCCAGGAGTTAAAGACAAGCATGAAGCAGAGCTGGTTTTATAAAAAAGGGGAAAAAAAAAAGGGCCAGTCTAGGCAACATAGTGAGACCCCTGTCTCTACAAAAACTTAAAAAATTAGCCTGGCATGGTGGCATGTGTCTGTAATCCCAGCTACTCGGGAAGCTGAGGTGGGAGGATCACTTGCACCTGGGAGGTTGAGGCTGCAGTGAGCTGTAATTAAGCCACTCTGCACTCCAGACAGACACTTTTCTTTAAAAAAAAAAAAAGTTGATTGGCCATGAGTTAATTGTTGAGCTGAGTTATGGATACATGAGGTTTATTGTACTATTCTGTTTGATATTTGTTTGAAATATTTTGAGAATTGATTTTCTTAATTGCTTTTCAGACACTGAAAATACTTGTATTCCTGCCAACAATGTAGTGTACAAGAGTGCCCCGTTTCCACACACTCTTGCCACACTGAGTATTTGCATTCTTTTCAAATTTTGCCAATCTGATAGACAAATTTTTGTTGCGTTAATATTAAGGGATAGTTTTAATTAGAGGTTTCATTGCCATTTGCACTTCAAAGAGCCCTTCATCTTTTCCAATCTCCAAAAGCAATCTGCTTGTTTCACGTTTTGTTCAAAAGGAAAGTTGTACTCAGCTCCACGAACCCTGATGTTACAAGGTAGTGTAACTATTGGCTTAGCATCTTTCTTCACGGCAGTTTTCTTTCACCCAGCGCAGTTTTTATTTCTGGTTTATTTCTGATTAAACCTCAGTGTTTGTCAGTTTATTTGGTGACCTGGATAAATTCTGGATAGAAAGTTAGGTGGAGGGTTTAACACAGATGATGGTTGTTTTTCTTTTGTTTTTTTTTTGTTGTTTCTTTCTTAGCCAAAAGGTTCCTATTATATTTTCAGTTGTTTTTAGTGGGGGCAAAACGTGCTTGAAGCCTTTTTCATGTATGCATTCCCTCGTCCTTAACAAAGGCATCAGTGGTCTCCAGGCTTAGTCTTCTCTTTGTTTCTGAAAACGAACATGTGTGACTCCCCACACACTGAGAAGAAAATATGCTGCACTGATAATTGGTCTCAGTAGGAATCAAGAAGCATTCTGTTGTGTGTGCTGCTGTCCAGAGTCGTTTCATCTTTCACCTCTCAAATAAATTGTATCCTGAAACGCATTGTGTCCTTTCAGAAATAATTACAGAGAGTGGTATTAGGTGGGAAGGAGAAAGTATGCCATAAGTTTATAGATCCCTTTTTCTTTTACTGCGTTTTATTGTACATGACAAAATGCAGAGGATTAAATGGTTTTGTTTCATACTCTTTTCCTCTAAGTGAAACAGACACACACTGCTTGCCAGCCTACTGCCTGGATATGACCTCAGGAACATGTGTGGTTACCTTGTTGCCCAGGTATTCAAAGTGTGGGTGATGTTTGCCTCTTCTGCTGCCCTCTTTGAATAGACTGAATTCCCTAGGGCCATTGTGATGTAGTGGAAAAAGCAGTGCAGAGTCAGAATTTAAACTTCATCTCTGCCACTTAGGAGCATTGTAATATCACCCAACCTCAAAGGAATTCAAATATACGCCTAGCACTGAGTAAACACCAGCTGAATTTGAATTTGTGATTCATTAAACAAATTTGTAATGCATGCCTGCTGTGTGTTAAGCTCTGTGTTGTCTAGAAATGTACAGTCCTTACCTAGAAATGATTGTCACCAGCTCTTTCTATTCCTTTTCAATAGTAGTTTGCACGTTTCCGGTAAATATCCAAACTCTGCTTTTAGCGTCAGCTCTTAAAGATAAAGGTAATGTTTAAGTGTTTCCTTTTGCCACAGTCTGTTAGGAGAGACGTCCAGCATGGGGAGGTGAAGGTTGTTGGTTTTATCTTGATGTCAGCTTTCTCAGCAGTGGCAAGCAGCCAGTCACCATGCCAAACCAGAGTCTTTATAACAGCATCTGATGGGAAAAAATACATCGCGGTTTCACTAGAATAACTGAATTGCTGAATCCATTCTTTCAGGTTGGCTCTGCAGAATGAATTTATGAGGGGCAGAGGTACATATATGCTTTGGTTTGTTCAATGTATGATAACATTTACCACTGACTCTGGCATAATGCTTAAGTGCTTAGGACAAGGGCCGTTCTTGTAAGCTGTACTCTGATGGGGAGCAGGAATACAGTCACTTCCTTGCGGGTTCTGGTGAGGAGGTCGAGGAGGAGGTGGCCACAGCAGCTGCACCACCAGAAGTTCCCTGTGGAGTCCTCACCTTTACAGGGCATTTTATGCTGTTTTTATTGAAGCTGAGGCAGAAGTGTCTTCCAGAATTTTGACCTCCCATGTAAAACTTTCTAAAAGACGCTGAGTTGCAGAAGTGGAATGTCAGGCAAAAGTTAAATGAACACCTGTTAAGCGTGCGGATGTAGTGTGAGATAGCCAGCTTGATGTGCTTTCTGGACTCTGAGTGTTTCAAATGTTGGGCAATGCTCACACGTTGCCAATGCAAGTCAGGCCCTCAGTAAACACACTCAGTACCATTGCACTATGTAGAGTTCTTTATTATTATTATTATTCGGGAGAGGGCCTCGCTCGGTCGCCCAGGCTGGAGTGCAGTGGCCCCATCACAGCTCATTGCAGCCTCAACCTCCTGGGCTCAAACAGTTCTCCCATGTCAGTCTCCTGAGTAGCTGGGACCACAGGAGGCACGTGCCACAGCTGCTCAGCTAAATTTTGTATTTTTTTTGTAGAGACAGGGTTTCACCATGTTGCCCAGGCTGGTCTTGAACTCCTGGGCTTAAGTGATCCTCCTACACCAGCCTCCCAGAGTGCTGGGATTACAGGCATGAGCTATCATGCCTGGCCTTTTTTTTTTTTTTTTTTTTTTGAGATGAAGTCTCACTCTGTCACCTAGGCTTAAGTGCAATGGTGTGATATCGGCTCACTGCAACCTCCTCCTCCTTGGTTCAAGTGATTCTCCTGCCTCAGCCTCCTGAGTAGCTGGGATTATAGGCGCCTGCCACTATGCCTGGCTAAGTTTTGTATTTTTAATAGAGACAGGGTTTCACCATGTTAGTCAGGCTGGTCTTAAACTCCTTGACCTCAGATGATCCACCTGCCTCAGCCTCCCAAAGTGCTGGGATTACAGTCGCGAGCCACTGTTCCTGGCCCCGGCCTCTTTTAGAGTTTGGTAAGTTCCAACTGAGATGCACAGCAGGAAAACGATGTTTCTGTGAATAGCCACAAAGACTTCTCTAGATGCCTGAAGGGATTAATGTCATTTCCTAAAAGGCCAAATATCTCTCAACAAATTAATCTTCATTGAGCACCTACTTTGTGCTCGGCAATGTTTTAAATTTGAAGAGGAAGTATGTAATATCGTCGTGGTCCTCAAAGAACTTAGGATAATAATGAATAATACTAAGCACACACTAAATGCTGCACACTCCGCTACTGGCCTTATATACATACTGTTTCACTTAACCCTTACAACAACCTGAGGCGTGTATTACTGCGTCCATTTTACAGACAAAGAAACTGAGGTTCAGAGAAGTGTAGTAACTTGCTAAGTGGCGGGGCAAGATTTTACTCAAAATGCCTGACTCTGAAGCCCATAGTGTACTTCTCTGAGGTGCAGTTGGAGAGGCAAGATGGACTCATGTGAAAATGCATACTCATCGCCAAAACAGATGGGGTTTGGCAATGGATGCAAAGCTGTAGGGATGATGTGTGAGATGTCTGGATCAAGAGTCTAAAGATCTTGGCAGATGGGAAAAACAGATAAAAGTAGTGAAAGGAAATTTACTGGAGATAAATGCAAAATCCCCCATTTAAGTAAAAATCAGCTCTTGAAGTCCTGAGGAGGGGAAAAATGGTTTAATAAAACTCTATGAGGGGAAAAGAGGACTTAGGGATTTTAGTTATCTGCAAGTTCAAGATGGGTCTGCAGGAGAACAGTGTGGCCAGCGTAAACACGAATGCACCCTGATGTTGTGTTAATAAAAGTATGGGATCCACTGAGAAATAAATGAAGTTGACAAGATGGTCAGGGAGCTGGGAGTTTGGTTGTGTGAGAAATGACTGAAGGAATTAGGGTATTTTGGCCTTCAAATATTTGATTCTTGTGGCAGAGGGGTCACACTTACTCTACTTACCTCCAGAGGAAAGTCCTGGGCCCCAACCAAAGTGTGGAAGATCTGGGCTTCACAGAAGTTGTCGTAGAACTATTCCACAATGATTCAGGCCACCTGGCAAGGTCATGAAGTGTGGAAGCAGATGCTGAGTGCTGTGGTGGAGTGGGATTCTACGGTTCCAAGGGCTGCAGGAGTTGAGAGCAGAGGAGACTCAGGGAGGGCTGGATGCGTCAGAGGCGGCTCATTGGGAAAGTGGAATGTGCTAGGATTTAGAAAATTGATGAGGAAACAGCATTCTAGGTGAGGAAAACAATATATGAGAAGATAAAGGGAGTGGCTTTTTTTTTTTTTTTTTTTTTTGCCAGAGTCTTGCTTGGTCGCCCAGCCAGGCTGGAGTGCAGTGGCAAGACCTTGGCTCACTGCAACCTCTGCCTCCCGGGTTCAAGTGATTCTCCTGCCTCAGCCTCCCTAGTAGCTTGGATTACAGGCATGTGTCACCATGCCCAGCTAATTTTTACATTTTTAGTAGAGATAGGGCTTCTCCATGTTAGTCAGGCTGGTCTTGAACTCCCAACCTCAGGTGATCTGCCTGCCGCAGCCTCCCAAAGTGCTGGGATTATAGGCGTGAGCCACTGTGCCCGGCCCCAGGAGTGGCATTTTTAAAAACTTGATTTATTGAATAGGACATTGCTGGAGTATGACCTTGTGCTAATTGGGCAGGAGGAACAAGATTGAGTAAAGGGTATCTAGGCCAATGTATGATCCCATAACACTTAGATTGGAGGCAGGAGAACTTTTTTAGGTACCATTTTTATTTTCTGACAGAATATTTGATAGGATAGCATTAACTTAATACATGACCCAACTGTGTCTTATTTGCAGGAGACTGACTTTAGCATGATGAAACAAACAGGCATCTCATCTCTTTCATTCTTTTTTTTTTTTTTTTTTTTGAAACATAGTCTTGCTTTGTTGGCCAGGCTGGAGTACAGTGGCACGATCTCGGCTCACTGCAACCTCCGCTTCCCGGGTTCAACCGATTCTCCTGCCTCTGCCTCCCGAGTACCTGGGATTACAGGTGTGCACCACCATGCCTGGCTAATTTTTATATTTTTAGAAGAGATGCGATTTCACCATGTTGGTCAGGCTGGCCTCGAACTCCTGACCTCGTGATCCGCCTGCCTCGGCCTCCCAAATGCTGGGATTATAGGCATGAGCCACCACATCTGGTCTCTTTCATTTTTACTTAAAAACTTCAGTCTGTCTGAGCTGTTTAAAAGGAGAGCTGTCAGCTGTTGAACTTTGTCAATCATGTGTTGCACGACATGTTAATTTTATTTTATTTATTTATTTATTTATTTATTTATTTTTTTGAGACGGAGTTTCGCTCTTGTTACCCAGGCTGGAGTGCAATGGCGCGATCTCGGCTCACTGCAACCTCCGCCTCCTGGGTTCAGGCAATTCTCCTGCCTCAGCCTCCTGAGTAGCTGGGACTACAGGCACGCGCCACCATGCCCAGCTACTCAGGAGGCTGAGGCAGGAGAATTGCCTGAACCCAGGAGGCGGAGGTTGCAGTGAGCCGAGATCGCGCCATTGCACTCCAGCCTGGGTTCAGGCAATTCTCCTGCCTCAGCCTCCTGAGTAGCTGGGACTACAGGCACGCGCCACCATGCCCAGCTAATTTTTTGTCTTTTTGGTAGAGACGGGGTTTCACCATGTTGACCAGGATGGTCTCGATCTCTTGACCTCGTGATCCACCCGCCTCGGCCTCCCAAAGTGCTGGGATTACAGGCTTGAGCCACCGCGCCCGGCCGACATGTTAATTTTAAAAGAGAATTGGTTGAGGATAGGTCAACTCATTCCCCCTGCTACTGTGGTGTGGCTACTCTGGAAAGGCAAGAGGGACCCCCACCCCAGGTTTAGTTCAGAGGTGGAAGCTGACGATCTCTCATGTGTACACATTGAAATGGTCTGTTGCTTACCTTTTTGAAGTCTCTGGGAGACAGGGCAGGCCTCTTGAACAGTGTGAGTGAGCAAGAAAGAGACTAGGTTTTGCTGAGTTGAAAGGGGTGGGGTCAGGATGCAGGTGGTCAGGACCTTGCCAGTTTTGAATCTCCCACTGCTGCCAAATGAGGGAGCACCCGAGCCTTCTTAGTAGCCTACCCAGGTGTGGGACAGAAGGGGCAGAGGAAGGGCAGAGGCTTGAAAGCTGTGAGCAGTCAGACATCAAAAATGAAGCCGGCTCTTCCTCATAGCCTGTAGATGAAAGTCATTTTTCCAAGGCCTGGTATGAAGACTAGATTCCACCCAGCCCTTGTGCCCTGTTTGTGCCAGCCGGCACCAGCGAACTGAAACAGGTGTCCGAGTCCGCTTACTCTGTGCCTTCATCTTTTGCCCAGGCCTCATTGCCAGTGCATAACCAGGTGCTGCCTTCAATCGAGAGTGTGGATGGGTCCGATCCTTTGGCAACTCTGCAGACCCCTCTAGGTAGACTGGAGGCGAAAGAGGAAGAGGATGAGGATGAGGACGAGGACACTGAGGAAGAAGAGGAGGAAGACGGTGAGGACACAGATCTGGATGACTGGGAGCCAGACCCACCCCGGCCCTTCGACCCGCACGACTTATGTAAGTATGGGCAGTCAACTCCCCCAGGGAAGCTGTGTCCATCTTGTGCGTGTGTGTGAACATAGCTCCTATAAACCAGGTCTTCTGTGTGCAGCCGCTGGGCTGCATTCTCTGCATGCATCATTTTACCTGGCCTTCACTGCAGCCCTTTGAGGAACACTGTCGTTTGTGTTCCAGTTTTACTGATGAGTGAACTGAAGCTCAGAAGATTGGGCAGCTCGCTCAGGGTCACATAGGGACAAATGAGGCATCAGGCAGCCGAGCCCAGGTCTCTCACACCAGAGCTTCAGCCACCAAACCACCGTGGTAGATTTGCCCAATCCCGCCCTCTTCAGCCACTTCAGCATTAAGAAGTTTGCCTTGCTGCTTTGCCTTTGCCATGATAGCCTGTTAAGAATGTTGTTCTATCCCAGGTGGGCAGCTTTCCCAGGGCTGTGCCAATAATTTGAGGGTCAGGACTCCAGCTCAGGCAGTCTGGCCCCTCAGCAGCGCCTTCGTCAGCTACCCCACCCTACTGCCTGCCGGGGCTTCAGATTCCACCACCAAATCATTGTTTCTTTTGATTTTCTTGCTCATATGGCAAAGTGCTTACTCCATTGATTTGCATTACTGAGGCTCTTCAGAGCTTGGTGGTTTCATCCGTCCTTCTGTATGGTGGTGGTAAAATGTGTCTGCTTCGGCTCAGTGTTCAAGCTCCACATCTAATCCCAATCCAAGAGAGAACTTGCTTGTTTTGGTTTTCCTTGAATTCATACATTTTCTTTCCTTTTTTTTTTTTTTTTTGAGACAAGTTCTGTCTCCCAGGCTGGAGTGCAGTGGCACAAGCTCAGCTCATTGCAGCCCTCTGCCTCCCAGGTCCAATCAGTTCTCATGCCTTAGCCTGCAGAGTGGAGTAGTTGGGACTACAGGTGTATACCACCACGCCCAGCTAATTATTTTTGTATTTTTAATAGAGACAGGGTATCACCATGTTGGCCAGACTGGTCTCGAACTCCAGACCTCAAGCGATCTGCCTGCCTCAGCCTCCCAAAGTGCTGGGAGTACAGGCTGAGCCACTTTGCCCGGCCAAATTAATACATTTTCAAGGCAGCTCCTAAGTCAAATGCACAGAAAATCACTTTATTTTAAAAATAATACAACGCAGCTCTGTTATTTGAGAATTGTAGAAATTAAAAATACCTGTTTGCTAAACCAGGTCACCATGTAGCCAGAGTAGGGTAAAGCATGTTAAGTGTGTTAAGGGTCGTGGGCGTGGGCTCTGTGCGGTTCATTTGCTCTTCTCCGTTTTGGGGCTGTACCTGTCTCATTCTGGCAGTTTGCTTACAGATGGGTGCTCCTGGCAAAGAGGCAGTGTGTGTGGCCGGACTGGTGCAAACTGAGTGCTCTTGGAATGATCTGAAAATGTCCATCTTTTCAGGGCTAAGCTAGTTGTGTCATCCCAGTGAATGAGGGAAGGGGATTTGTTCCTTTTAACGTTATCTAATCAGTACTCACAGAACTTTCAGACTGCACAACCCTTTTTCTGTTTGAGTTATACAGGCTGAGATAGACTTCTACAACTCCCTTTGAAAAAATTGATTCAACAGTATTGTCCGGGCTCCTCCCTGGCCCCTGAATAGTTTTATTGAGATAATCTGCATACTATAAAATTCACCAATTTTGTCTCCTCTGATAGTGCAACATTTAGCCTGAGAAGCTGTTTTTACTCTTCAGACATGTTGTAATTGATTTGTAAATTTAGTGGTCACTATTCAAAGTACTCTCCGGCAGAGAAGTAAGTCATGGCCTGCAAATTGTTTTTGGCAGGCATAAGCAAATTCTGCCTGATTTTAGAGGAGAATTACAGGATTTTTACTGGTCTACCAGAGAGAATGTATTACCATTGAGTGAGTAGTGCCATGAGGAGTTAATTGAATTTTGGCTTGAAGACATAGACTTGGGGATTTTTCAGGTCAGAATTTTTTGCCTCACATCAAGTCATACTGAGGAATAGGACTTTTCTTCAAGACTCTCTCTCTTTTGCAGGGTGTGAGGAGTGTAATAACGCGCATTCTTCAGTGTGCCCGAAGCACGGCCCCTTGCACCCGATCCCCAACCGGCCGGTGCTCACCCGTGCGAGGGCGAGCCTCCCCCTGGTGCTCTACATAGACAGGTTTCTGGGCGGGGTGTTCTCCAAGCGGCGCATCCCCAAGCGCACCCAGTTTGGGCCCGTGGAGGGGCCTCTCGTCAGGGGCTCGGAGCTGAAAGACTGTTACATTCACCTCAAGGTAATTTATGCTTTATCACACTTTACTCCTGTTCTTCAGCAGTGTTTCAGGGAGCACTGCATTGTCGACTGGATCCCTTATTTCTGTTTCTTGGCAGTCGTTTGCTAGTATTCTTTTTATCTTAACTTGGTTAAATGGAAACTCACTAATAAGATGGACATTGCAGTTTTATTCCCTGAAAGCGTTGTACGAATTATTCGGAGAGGGGTAGTTCTTAGGGGCTACAGTAGTTTTCTAGGGCTGACATAGTAAAATACCACAGGCCAGGAGGCTGAAACAATAGACATTTGTTTTCTCACTGTTCTGGAAGCTGGAAGTTTGAGATCATGGCGTTGGCAGGGTTGATTCTTTCTGAGGTCTCTCCCCTTGGCTTGAAGAAAGCCACCTTCTCACTGTGTCCTCACAGGGTCATTCCTCAGTGCTTGTGTGTGTCCATGTCCTAATCTCCCCTTCTTATTTATTTACTTATTTATGATTTTTGTATTTTTTTGAGATGTAGTCTTGCTCTGTCGCCAGGCTGGAGTGCAATGGCGCTCTCTTGGTTCACTGCAGCCTCTGCCTTCTGGGTCCAAGCAGTTCTCCTGCCTCAGCTTCCCAAGTAGCTGGGACTACAGGCACATGCCACCATACCCAGCTAATTTTTGTATTGTTAGTAGAGATGGGATTTTACCATGTTGGCCAGGATGGTCTCTATCTCTTGACCTCGTGATCTGTCCGCCTCGGCCTCCCAAAGCACTAGGATTACAGGCAAGAGCCACTGCGCCCGGCTAATTTTTGTATTTTTTATGGAGAGAGGGTCTTGCTATGTTGCCCAGGTTGGTCTTAAACTCCTGAGCTCAGGTGATTCTCCTTCCTTGGCCTCTCAAAGTGCTGGGATTACAGGCGTGAGCCACCTCGCCTGGCCCGTCTTTTCTTCTTATAAGGACCAGTCCTGTTGGATTAGGGCCCGCTCTAATGACCTCATTTTAAATTAATTACCCCTTTAAAAGTCCCATCTCCAAATACAGTCACAGTCTGAGGTACTGGGGGTTAGGGCTTCACCATGGATTTTGAGGAAGACACAGTTTAGCCCATAACAGGAGCTTGCTTTCTTTATTTAAAAAAATTTTGACTGAAATGCAAAGAGAATTATGTAGACTTAATGTAATCTGCTATGTGCTAGTAGTGTTTTCGAGAAAACCACTTTCCAGTTTTGAAACAAGTCTGACCTATAGACTCGGGTTAAAGAATAGCTTCTTGTGTGGTGAAGTATGTTTATATTCATCTGTTTACAACTGACCCTTTTGCTTCTGTCCAGCCCTCTCTGCTGTCCGCTTTTTAGATAATGGTTCCAGAGAACTAGGAAAGGGCAGTGGGAAGGGGTGAATATTTGGGATGTGTTTTTTGACAAATCAGCTGCTGTCATGGGGAGGTTTTCTTTGAGTTCTCAAAATCTCCATGCAAGAATATTACTTTGTAAAGAGAAATTCCTATCCCTGGGCTGCCTATTATAAATGAATGCAGTGAAACCCCAACAGGAGGCAAATTGTAATGAACTAGAGAGTATTTTGCTTGCATGCTCTGGCATACTTGTAGCATTTTTTGTCATGTTCGTTTTGTGAAATATTAACTAAAGCTACGCAATTAGATTAACTTTTACATTTTGCCAGGTAATTTTCTTACAGGTGAGGCTTTAGAAAGTATGTTTTCCCTTTGGCATTTGGCAAGTTATAAGTTATGGGTCCAGGATTTTTCCAGATACAAAGAGAAGAGCCAGGATATATGGTTAATTTTAGGAGCAATACTTCATGTACTGTGACATTACAAAATGCATCTCACATTGAAGGTTTTGTTTTGTTTTTGGTGTGGCTTTTTAATTTTTTTCTGCAGGTTTCTCTTGATAAAGGGGACAGAAAAGACAGGGATTTGCATGAAGACCTGTGGTTCGAGTTGTCTGATGAGACGCTTTGTAACTGGATGATGTTTGTACGGCCAGCCCAGAATCACCTGGAGCAGAACCTTGTGGCTTACCAGTATGGCCACCATGTGTATTATACAACCATAAAAAATGTGGAGCCCAAGCAGGAACTGAAGGTACAGTGCTGCCAGATCCTGCTGCTATTTGCTAGCAAGAGTGATTTTTTAGGGCTTTTTGCAATTTTATTTCTTTAAAGTGGGATTGTTAAAAAAAAAAAAGGCATTTCCTGGTTATTCACATACTTTTTGAGTAGCTACCGTGTAGTGTACACATGGTACACTACATAATCCTGTAAATAGAATGATAAATATGTGGCTTTTATGCTTATCAAAGGGCCTATGTAAGGCCGTGCATGGTGCCTCATGCATGTAATCCCAGCACCTTGGGAGGCCCAGGCGGGTGGATCACTTCAGGTCCAGAGTTCAAGACCAGCCTGTTCAACATGACAAAAACCCATCTCTACTAAAAATACAAAAATTAGCTGGGTGTGGCAGGTGCGTGTAATCCCAGTTACTCATGAGGCTGAGGCAGGAGAACTGCTTGAACCAGGAGATGGTGTCCAGCCAGACTCCATCTCAAAAAAAAAAAAAGCCAACGTGAAATCAGTAGGTCTGTGGGGTAAGGAGGTAGTTGTTTTGGGGAGCAGACCGGTCTAGATGCTTCTCTACCTGTGATGGAGTTATATCCCAAAAAGCCTCATTGCAAACGGAAAATATTGTAAACTGAAAGTGTACTTACTACACTCAACCTACGAACATCATACCTCAGCCTCGCCTGCCTTAAATGTGATGAGAACACTTGCATTAGCCTACAGTTGGGCAAAATTAACACAGTGCCTATTTTATAATAAAGTGTTGACTATCCCATGTAATTTATTGAATACTGTACTGAAAGTGAAAAGCAGAATCGTTGTATGGGCACGCAGAAGATTTCTACTGAAGGTGTTTCACTGTCGTGCTATCGTTACATCAAAAAATTGTAAGTCACACCATTGACGGGAACGTATCTGGTTCTGTGGCGGAGTGATTAAAGATGTTGGTTAACTTCATTTACACACTGCATAGTTGGGAAACTGATTTTTAGATGTATAGGCAAGATGTTCAGCCGTATGAGCAATAATTTTTTCTTTATATGAATATTTTACTCAGAATTATATGTGCATTTCAGAAATATATTTTTGGGTGATAACTATTGAAATTTATCTAAACAGTAATTCTTGATGACATAATAAAATTTTGCTATGATTCTAAATGAAAATTCCTTTTTTAAAATAAAGCTTATATAAAGAACATGCCAAAAGAGGGGATCAAAATACTCTTTAGCTTCCTGATATAAATGAAAAATAGGTAAGAAATGATCATATAAGCAAGTACATGAACATTGAATTGCACAGTGCCTCCATATGGTACACATTAGAAATGGATACCTCTCTCGAGGGAGAAAGAATCCTGGATTTTTTTCAAAATCCTGGATTTTGTGCAAAACCTCTGTTTTTGAAACCATCAGCTAGAGAATCCATAAACCCTGAAGAAAATATGCAAAAGGAGATTTGTATCTCATACCATGTATTCCAATAAATTCCTGATTAGAAAAAAAAAGCTGAGGTGAATTTTTTTAACTGTGAAGGGGAGATCTTTCCTTTTAAACCAGTAGATGGGACTATGAAGATGGACAGAAACAAATATGAATATAATAGTTCAGGGCAAGGAACAACCATAAAACAAAAAGGAAACAACAGAATGGGGGAAATATTTGTAATACACATGAAAAGGTTCAGCTATGAAAACTGACAGACGTCACTACACCCAGAAGTACAAATGAAAAAATGTCAGGAATTGACTTTATCTGGAGGAGGAAACAAATAGTAAGAAAATGTTTAAAAACAGAAAAAAGAGCGAATGCATTCTGGGCTTAATACCTAGATGATGGGTTCAGCAAATCACCATGGCACATGTTTACCTATGTAAGCTGTACATCCTGCATGTGTACCCTGGAACTTAACTTAAAATTTTCAACATTAACCATTTAAAAACCCCTCAAAATAACTATGAGCTACTATTTACATTAAGTTAGCAAAAATAAATGGATACAGTACAATGAATGTTTTTTAAAAATAGGAATGTTAATTGTAGAATTGAATTATTTCATAAAATATTTCTGGAAGTATATAGCAAAAATGTTCTTGGCTGAGTAAATCTAATCCTTGAAAGTTAAGCAGAGGAAATAGTTACAAAAGAAGACAGAACTAGACTACTGCATTTTACAAACCCTAAGATACCAATGACTTTAGGATGCACTATTATTTTATGCACCATTAAGAAAAAAATGCTACCTATTAAATTATAGTACTTTTTAAAAATAAAAAATGGTTAGAAGGAGCTATTTTAGACTGATTTTGACTTAATTTTAAAATTGCATCATACTTGTGCATTCATAAAAAGGCACACTGAAGCAAAATAAATTAATTGTGGTATAAACCACTTTGTGTGCAGAGTCTGACTTCTTTTTCCTGCATCACAGTTTGACTTGATCATGGATGTTTGTGCTGTTTTGTGTGCTGTCATCTTCTGGGCTATTGAGAGCATGGATGCAGCTGCAATATTTTTAAAATAAGTGTTCTGCTATTGCCCCTGGGATGTTTTCCCCGAGCCACTGATCACCTGCCTGCAAGTTTTGATACGATGCTTTCCCATTTGTCTGAACCCATCTGTGTCTTTTTCCTCAATTGAATCACGTATCCTCGGAACTGGAGAGGCTTTGGATCAAGTCTGTAGGAAGTTTCTGACTGCTGATGCCTTACTGAGAAGCCCTGCAGGACACATGCCAGCCTTGCATGGCTTTCAGATTTCTTGTGTTTGTTCTGAGGGAAATGGCAAATCTTTTTGGCCTTTGCGTTGCTTGGCAAGTGTTCACTGATGGGGTGTCAGTGGGCTCATAACTGAATGGGGTGAGAACAGTACAAAGAGCTTGGTCTGGTTTGTGCAGGAGCAGTGAGCAGGTAGCAAGAGCTCCACTGTGGCCACGACTATAAAAGGCCCTAGAGTGTGAGACACATCCTGACTTCTGACATGCTAAAATATTTAAAAATATACCCTGGAATGGATAGATTAGGGTATAATTTGTGATAGTAAAATGATAATCCATCTAAAAGTACAAGTACAGGGGCATAGTTAAATTATAGAATACAGACTATGTAGACGATTATTCCATGGTAAACTGTCTTTATGAATGTTTCCATATATATTAAAAAATATCCCATAACAATTGTATATGATTAATTCATTTAGCAATTGATATATTGAACTCCTACTATGTTTGAGACCCTAGAAAACACAGACTAGCTCCCTGTGCTCTGAGAACCTGTATTCTAGAGCAGAAATAGACAGAAAGATGTAAAGATACAAATAATATCTCATGGGATAAGTTCCATGAAGGAAGCAGTTGGTGCAGAAAGAGCAGGTAACAAGAAAGGGACCGATTTTGATGTGATGGTTAGGGAAGGCCTTGCTGATGAGGCAGTATTGAGGCTGAGAACTATGGAATGGGGCCAGCACAGGGGTCAGGGCAGGGGTAAGGGCAAAGAGCCCAGGACTTGTGGAGGTGAAACAGCAGAGCTGAAGGCTTGGGGTGGGGAAGCGCTTGGCATGTTTGAACAGCTGAAAGCAGGCTCCGTTGACTGAAGCGTGGGTCAGGGAGACTGATAAGGGCTGAGGTTGCTTTTCCAAGTTGGGGAGATCATGGAGCCCTTTGGAGAGTATCATCAAGCATTTCAGGTTTACTATGAGATGAGAAGCCATTGCCTGCATGACAAGATCTGATTGTGTATTCTTTTTATTGATACATATTAGTTGTACATATTTTGGGATACATGTGATATTTTGATGCCTTTTATATGATGTGTAATGATCCAGTTAGGGCAACTGGGATTTAAGGAGACCACTCTAGCTCCTGTGTAGATTTCAGAGAAAAGGAGATGCTAGTCAGAAGGCCAGGTGTTTATCCAGGCAAGAAACGGTCTTGGCATGTATCAGGGTGGCAAAAGCAGAGATGGAGAACATCTCTTTAGCAAGGACTGGAGCAGCAGTCCTTGCTAAAGGTATATAGAAGCAAGCAGAGAAATCAAAGGCACCTTTCAGGTTTCAAATCTGAGCAGCTGGGTGGAAGATATTCATCAAGATGGGGAAGATGGGTGGGAGTGTGAGTTGGAAAGAATTGAGAATTCCATTCTGGACATGGTAAGTTTGATCTGTTTGTGAGACATACAAAATATCTAGTTGAACACACTCAGAGGGAACAGAGAGAGAGTCTGGGATAGAGATATTAATTTGGGAGTCATTAGCATAGAGTTGGTTGGAAATGGATGTGGTCACTGGAGGTCAAAATAAAAAGGCCCTACACTCGGACTAAGCTTTGAGGCACACCAATATTTAGAAGTTAGGGAGAAAGAAAAAGAGGCAAACAGAGTGAGCAGAAGTAGCCACTGGGTGGGCGGGAGAAGGTGGTTGTCTTTGAAGTTGTCACTGGTGATCCCAATAAGGGCTGTTTGGTGGCAGCAACTATAGCTACAACCCTGTAAAAACTGGTGTTTAAATATAGATAAGAAATCAGAGGAAGATGTTTTATTTAGATGAAGAGACGATGATTATAATTCTAGTAACCATTTTCTGAAAAAGAAAAACCATGCAGTGTGTCTTGGCAAATGAACTTCCTGACTGATCTGCTGGAAGGGTATTGCAAGAGGAGCTCACAGCATGATCTTTTTTTTTCTTTGTTAATGGGCTGTGGAAAAGCCTGAATTGTTTCCTGTAAGCAGGGAAAATAATTTAAGCATGCAAAGAACATCTGGTGATGTCCCCAGTTCTTGATGATATACTTGCTTCTTGCAGGTGTGGTACGCCGCATCCTATGCTGAGTTCGTGAACCAGAAAATTCATGACATTTCTGAGGAAGAAAGGAAAGGTGGTTAGATGTTTATGTTTTACATTTTCTGTATGAATTCTAAATTGTATATCATCACATCTTTATGAAACTCTAATTGTTTTGTCTCAATATATTTCAGAAGCTATTCCAGTAGGTTTCTTAGAGACACACATCTCCATCTAATTCAGGGTCAAATTACAATGTCATATTTACATTTCTTTCATCTGTGCTGGAAAATAATATTTAATATAATGAAAACTTCCAAATACCAAATTAGGACCTAGATGAGAGGACAATTCCTATCCAGATTTTATCATCTCTGAGGATATGCCAAGACAGGCATTGACTTTGTTTTTAATGCAAATGTCACTGAAGTATAAGCTACATGCAGAAAGCTGCACACATCATAAGTATACAGCGTAAATTTTCCCAAAACAAACACACCCATGTAACCTGCACCCAGATCAAGAAACAGCATTACTGTGCCCCAGAAGCTTCTTTGTGCTGCCTTGTAATTCCTACTCACTCCCAAGTGTAAACTCTCTCCTGACTTCCAGCACCACACATAAGATATGCTTATTATCAAATTGTGCATAATAGAATTATGTGACATGTACCCTTTTGGTGCCTGGGTATCTTTTACTTAACATGGTATTTATGAGATTCATCCACATCGGTGTATATAATTATAATTTATTCATTCTCATTGTTATTTGGTATTCGAGTATATGAATGTAAAACAAGTGATTTATCCATTATGTTGTAGATTTGGTTGTGAAATGCACTTCTGTCACTAACTCTCCAGAGTTAGATCAAGTTTCACAGGTTCAGGGCAGTCATCCGCAAGACACCCCTAACTTCGGACACCAGCTGCAGGCTCTGGGGCTCCCAAGCCCCAGCCCAACTGGCTACAAGTTAGGAGGTTCCCAGTAGCTCCTCAGGTTTGATAATTCACAAGAAGAACTCGTAGAACTTGGAAAAGCCCTGTTTTTAAGGATGGCCATTTTGTTACAAAGGATATAATAAATCCTTTTGTTTATTATAATATATAAATAGATATCTAATATACAAAAATATATGGTTTTTATATATTAGGGCGAGCCAAATGAAGAAATACATAAGGTGAGGTCTGGGAGATCCCAGAATGTCCTCAGGACGTGCTACCCTCCTGGCACATCGATGTATGATTCCCAACCGTAGAGGCTCACCTGAGCTTCAGGGTCCATTACATAGGTGAGACTGATCTAATCATTGGCCAGGTGATCAAGCTTGATTGCCAGCTTCCCCACCTCCCCCTTCTTCCATGAGGTCAGGCTGATAAACCCCTGGCTCCAAGCCCCACATTTCTAATTCCATGGCTGAGCTTCCCTACATGGCCTGTCCCCACTCTGAAGCATCTCATTAGAATAAATTTGGGTGTGCTTATAGGATGGGGCACCATGAATAACAAAGACACTCCTATTACTCAGGAAATTCCAGTGACTTAAAGGTTACCAACTAGGGACAAAGACCAGCCAGATTCTTTATTACACAATAAGATCATTTCTAGTTTTTGGCTATTTTGAAGAGTGCTGCTGTGACCATTCTTACATGTCTTTTAGTGAATGTATGTGCACATTTCTGTTGGTGCGTATCTAGGAGTGGAGTTGCTGGGTCATGGAGTATGCCTATATTCAGTTTAGTGGATACGTCTGAACATTTTGCTAAAGTCATTATGCTGGGCATTGACTTTTAAGTTATTTGTGCTAAAATATACCCTCAGATGATAATACTGTGTTCTGAATCGCTAGGTTATCTGAATACAGATGTTTGCAACATCTTTCGTGTTTTCAGTGTGGTGAGGTCATGTGTGTGTGTTGAGGGCTGCGAGAGGGTGATGTGAGGATATTTGTTCCTTTGATGTCTTGCACGGATGCATTAGAAAATAAGATCCTAAAAACCAACTCTGCCAAATTTTAGCTTTCGATTTGATAACAAAACAGTAATGCAAATAGCAGATACTGTACAATTATGAACCCTTTGGGCTGCAACAAAGTAAGAATGGTGGGGATCGCAGGCATTTGAGTTTTGTCGGTGTCTGTTGATCATCAGCCCTTATGATTTCTCTCCTGTGACTGTAGTTCTTCGAGAGCAAGAGAAGAATTGGCCCTGTTATGAATGTAACCGCCGATTTATAAGCTCGGAGCAGCTACAACAGCACCTCAATTCTCATGATGAGAAACTAGATGTGTTTAGCAGGTATGTATGAGGGAGAAAGGCTCACAGACTGAGTTTATAAAGGTTCAGAATCATTTCTGTATTGTCCACTAGCTAATGAGTGTCTCTGAGTGTCATGTGTAGGTAAGTAACCAGGTGGGCTCCTGAGGGAAGGGCGTTACCTGTCATGTCCTTTCCCCTCTGATCCTTATTTACCATTACCCACCTTTTCCAGCATAACCAATACCCAGCAATGGGATGTCCTTTCACTTTAGATAAATCTCCCTTAATTGGAGATTCTGAAATAGGAAATTTTGAGATAGCAAATAATCTTCAAAATAATCTGCATCTTTGATTTTCAGACTTTCTGCAGCAGTGCAATTACTTAATCAAACTAAATCATATATTTAATTCCACTATATAAAAAAGACAGATGAGGGGAGAATTATATAGGATGAAGTGGGCAGGGGCCAGATCAGGTAGGGCCTTGTGGGAAATGGTAGGGAATTTATATTTTATTCTAAGTGTGATGAGAAGTCTTTAGAGGGTTTTGGTCAGAGAGTATTGTGATGCTCATTGTATTTTTTGAAAACCATTTTGGATAAAAATAACACCTGGATAAAATTACCTCTAGCTTATATTGGAGTAAGAGTGGAGACAAGGAGGCCCGTTAGCAGCTATCACAACAGTTTAGGGGAGGAACGAGGGTGGTGTGGGATAGGGTCATGCCAGGGGACGTAGAGGGTTGCCAGTTTTTCCAGGGTTTGGAAAGAGAGGAGATTTGTGAGATGGTAGCTAGGTAAGTGGGAAAGTGAATGTTGTAGGGAAGTGCCATACAATGGCTTGCTATATTGAGTGCCCACTTGGAGTTCATGGTTATGAAATGAAAGTGAGCCCACTAGCATGGCTGTGCATTGTTCTCCAGCTTCATACAGCTGCAGGGGTGCCAGTGCAGAGCGGGCAGGGAATTGGATTACACAGGGTTGTGGCTTTGCTAAGTGCTTCTAACACACATCCAGAAAACAGAACAGCCGTGGGACGGGAATTGAGAGCACACACAAGGGGGACAATGGGGGACCTCAAAGTGTATGCTGTGGAAGAAGGGGAGAGAACTCAAGGCGACTCAGGGCTGCACAGAAGTGCCAGAAGGATTGGATTGGAGACGCTTGCATGGCTGAAGGGTTGCAGAGTGCAGGGACTAGAAGGAGTGAACTACAGAGCCAGGGTAGTGTCCGAGTGGGCAGTGCACGGGATTGTCATGAAAAGACAAGGGTGACAGGGTCTACGATGTGACCACAGGGATGAATGTCTAAGGAGGGTGGACACAGTGAGATTTGAGTCACTCTCTCCTGGGTATCTCTAAAACTCTGTTCGTGGCTCTATTGTAGCAATTTTTATATTGTAATTTTTGGCTTATATGCCAGCTTCCTCTACTAGTGCCAGCTCCCTCTACTAGACCCCTGAGGGTAAAATCTGTTGCATGTAATCTGATGTCCTTAGTGCCAGCATAGTATGTGACACGTAGTAGATAATACATTTGTTAGCTGACTGTTAAGAGAAACTTGGGACAACTAGGAAGATTTGAACTTTGACTAGGTATAATAGTACTCAGCAACTCTCAGGTATTTCTTAGGTCATAATGGCATTATGGTCATATACATGCAAAGAGTCCTTATGAGTCAGAGAGACATGCCAAAATATCTAGAGATGAAAAGATATCTGGGATTTGCTTCAAAATCATCTACTGGGTATGTGTGTGGGCAGGTGGTGTGGGTACAGATGGAAAAGGTTGGCCATGGGTTGAAAAATGTTGGAATTGGGTTATGGGTACATTGGGCTCATCGTACTATTTTCTACATTAACCTAGGTTCAGAATTTTCCAACATGGAAAGTCTTTTAAAAGTTCCTGGAAAAAATATATAGTATTTGTTAAATTATTAAATAGATGAGTAGAAGAATAAAATTTTGATCTGATTGACATTGTAAGCTTCCCACATACATATCTTCTAAAAGAAGCTTCCATAACCTACTTTTTGAGCCTTTTTTTTTTTTTTTTTTGAGACAGAGTCTCGCTCTGTCACCAGGCTGTAGGGCAGTGGCGTAATCTTGGCTTACTGCAATCTCCGCCTCCTGGGTTCAAGTGATTCTCCTGCTTCAGCCTCCCGAGTAGCTGGAACTACAGGCGTGCGCCACCATGCCCAGCTAATTTTTGTAATTTTAGTAGAGACGGGGTTTCACCATGTTGGCCAGGATGGTCTCGATCTCTCGACCTCATGATCCACCCGCCTCAGCCTCCCAAAATGCTGGGATTACAGGCATGAGCCACTTTTATTAAGTAATTGATGTTTGTTAGCAATTCATGCCAGGCATGGTGGGTCATGCCTCTATCCCAGCACTTTGGGAGGCCCAAGAAGGAGGATTGCTTGTGTTCTGGACCAGCCTGGGCAACATGGCGAAACCCTGTCTCTACAAAAAATTAAACAAAATTACCCGGGCGTGGTGGTACATGCCTGCAGTCCCAGCTACCTGGGATGTTGAGGTGAGACAATCGCTTAAGCCCAGGTGGTTGAGGCTGCAGTAAGCCGTGATTACATCATTGTACTTCAGCCTGGGTAGCAGAACAAGACCTAGTCTCAGAAAGAAAAAAAAAACCATTAAGGGGAATATAAAATTTAATTGATGTTTACTAGGCATGCTATGAAACAATTGAATTAGAAATTTGTTCTGACCTTCCAGAAACTTGTAGTAAAACAAGAAAGTTGTTTGAATTTGGCTACATTTCTTGGAAGGAATATGAGGCGAGGCTAGGGGAAAAGAGAAATAATGGGATGCTTGTCTCAGATGACATCTCCTGGGAACGCACTGGAAGGCTTAGCATGTTCTATCCTGTCTGCCTTTTTCACATCATTTCAGAAGCAAAATATTGTCAGTGCTTTGAATTTTTATAGCTCTTTTCTTCACAATAATTGAAGATATATCTTTAAGCTATAATAAAGGGCAAGGATGAGACGTTCAGAAAGTGTGTATTAGTAAAACAATTGTTTCCATTGAAGAAAATCCTGGAAAGTAATAAGGTGAGAGGCATCAAAATCTGGGGTTAGTAAGGATCATTCAGGTCATGATTTGTTATGGAGTATTATGTAACCATGACAACCCATAACCCAATCTCTTGTCCCCAGAACAAGAGGCAGAGGAAGGGGACGAGGCAAGAGGCGATTTGGTCCAGGTCGACGACCGGGGCGTCCTCCAAAATTTATCCGCCTGGAAATCACCAGCGAAAATGGGGAAAAGAGTGATGATGGGACACAGGTACCGGGGGACGGGAAGGAACCCTCCTTAGATGGTTGTGTGGAGGACTCGCCAGATCCCTGACGAGACGTAAATACAGAGACCTTCCCAATGTTTGTAGACCCTTCATATCAGACCTTGCTGCCTGTTAATTAAAGTATGATTGGAGAATGGCGAAAAGCGTATTACCAAGGGTTACCTACCACAAAAACCCAACTTTGCTGCCCTAAAGATTTGAAATTGACCAGAGTTAGTAGAGGTGGACTTTGTTTAATTAAACTATTAAAATTATTGATATTCCAGAAAAGTCATATCACAGTCTTTTCTTTGTTAAGTGCTCTGGAATCTCTGCTGCTTTGCCTTCTGTGCATAGTTACCTAACTAACTTTCCCAGAGGGAGAATAATTTTTTCTGAGTATTATGAATCTAGTCATTCCAAAATAAGCAGCAATTCTAAATCTGAGCCGACAGACCCTCCAGCACTGATCTCTATTCCTGCTTATTGCAAATTTCAGGACTTGCTACATTTTCCCACAAAGGAGCAATTTGATGAGGCTGAACCAGCCACTTTGAATGGGCTGGATCAACCAGAACAGACCACTATCCCAATCCCTCAGCTGCCACAAGAAACCCAGTCTCCCCTGGAACATGAACCAGAAACTCACACCCTGCATCTGCAGCCGCAGCACGAAGAGAGCATGGTGCCCACCCAGAGCACGCTGACAGCCGATGACATGCGCAGAGCCAAGCGCATCCGAGTAAGTGGGGAAAGCCGGCAGCTCCTCGTGCCAGCCGGTGATCTTCCTCTCACCACCAGCTTTCCGGTGGTTTTCCAAGCTATTCACCTTCCACTCTGAAATCTTGCATCTAGCCCATCACATGTGCAATCCCCTTATTTTGAAAGAAGGTATTCACTATTTCTCAATGTCTCTGTGTCCTGTGGCAGGCTGGCATGGCTGGTCCTAGATTCGACCAATTTAGTAATGACACAGAGACCTGGAGGTTGGCAGCTCCTGGACTAGCTCTCTGCATCCCTCAATTCACAGATTGGAACTGGAGAAATAAGTACATTTAGTTATAATAATCATTTGCATTTTAAACCAGGCTAATTTGTGCCTAATCATAGTTCTCAAGTTAATTTTGGGTAACTAAATTTGCTTATCTACTGCTTCCCAGGGGAGAATGGCAAATGTCATTACTCATCACTGTAAAGTGACCTGTGTCCAAGTTGAGATGGCAGGTACAATTCACACACCTGGGGATAGCTTGAGCCAAAGCTGTCAGTTCGAGAGTTAGTCAGTGTCCCAGTCACTTGACCTGTGTCTTGGCCTCAGACCATGCGGCTGCAGAGCTTTCATGACTTGCAATTCAGATGTGTATTGTTATTTCACAAATAGCATTTGAGTCTGAGTTAGGAACTGCAGGGGATTTGTGCGGAAAACAATATGGCTTTGTGGGATGAGTGTCTGCGCTGATAAAAAACAATGACTTAAAACCCATGTTTGTGGCAGCTGAGTGCATAAAGACTTACTGGTACTTTCCGGTAGATGAAAGAGACATTTTGTAACTTCCCAGGCTTTACAATTTCTACATGCGTGATCGTTTCAGCATATGTTTCTCTTGGTCTTCTTATTTGCCTGTAGGCTAGAAGGGACCTTGAAAAATAGTCTAGTCCATGCCTTCATGTAAAAACACATTTAAACGTTTGTTGCCATATGATAGCTTTGAAGGGCTCTAAGAACTCTGAGGCTAAACAGCCTTTATGAGGGCCCTGTATCGAAACATATAAAACTCTCAACTCACTGTATGTTATTTCACAAGGGTATAATCAACATACAGAAATATAGGCCAGGAAAAAAAGCTATGAATTAGTATCTTCCCATCCATCATTCTCCTTTGGTTCCTGATCTGCACTTCTTTCTCGTGCTTAATTACTATATTTTCTGCTTTGGCCATTTTGATTTTTTTACTAAGTCCAGAGAAATGCTTGCTAGATTTTTTTTTTTTTTTTTTTTTAAAACAAACCAAAGCCCACACATGCAGTGAAGTTGTGGATGCACAAACACAGCCCAGCCGTAATTGTTCATGCATTCTTGAATGAGCAGGGTTACTGGTTTTGGTACAAGGTTCCCTGTGTCAAAGCAAAAGCCATATGTCTCTGGCTTTTGGAGGTCAGTCTTAGTTGAGCTAGTTTGGTTTTTTTTCTCTCACACATTCTAAAAAGTAGGGCTATGTATTTTTTCATCTTTTCTATCCAGATTGGTAATGACCAACTGAAGGGAAGTCTTCCAATCCAATTGGTAATGTAACTATTTTTCTCTCCTCTAATGCTGCCTGCTCAGTTGGAGCTGCAGGTAGGTTTGTTTCCTGTGTTTCACATAACAGAATGTTACTTAAGTGTTTGCCTGACCTGCTGTTCTTTGCAACCTGTACTTACTAAATCCTGGTGGAAACCACAATTTGGTTGCTACAGTAAATGAAAATTAATGGATAATCATACCTTATTTGAAAGTAGATCAGTGAATACATTGTGGGCTGCAGGTTCCTCATATACAAAATGAAGGGTAGGACTAAGTGATCTCCAAGGTCCCGTCCAGCGCTGAAAGCACTGGAATGACTTATGCAGTGATGTTGAGGTCTAACTGTATATTTGGCCACTGTGCTGGGTACACAATAGAATTTTCACTTGAGCTTACAGTCTAAAAAGGGAATCAATACTCATGTAGGGGAGTTTACAGTTAGGTGTTCATTGTAAAAGTATAACTTGGAAGAGTGAAAGGTCGAAGTAAAATAGAGGAGTCAGGATAATTCATGATGAGGTGAGACTTAGACTAGCCCATGAAAAGGAGAGAGGAGGAAGGTAGACTGTTACAGAGAATGGCAGCCATGGGATCAGAGGCCCAGACACAGGAGGTTCTTGCCGTGGTTCGGGACAGTGTAGACATGAGCCTGGCTGTAGCGCGGGTGCAGTGGAACGATGGTGCAGAGTAAGCTGTGTTGAGCAGGGCTGGCCAACCAAAGGCTTTGAAAGTGGGCAGAAAATTGTCCAAAGGAAAGTGGTTTAAAAGACCCCAAAACTGCCAGGCACAGTGGCTCATGCCTGTAATCTCAGCACTTTGAGGGGCTGAGGAAGGTGGATTGCTTGAGCCCAGGAGTTCAAGACCAACCTGGGCAATGTAGTGAAACCCTGTCTCTACTAAAAACATACAAAAAATTAGCTGGACATGGTGGCACACACCTGTAGTCCCAGCTGCTCTGAACCTGGAAAGTTGAGGCTGCAGTGAGCTGTGATTACGCCACTGTACTCCAGCCTGGGTGATGGAGTGAGGCCCTGTCTCAAAAAAAGCCCCCCCAAACCCCAAATCAAGAAAGATGATTGATTTCCTTTTTGTGTCAGAATTAAAATAGTATGAAAATTGATCAATAATTTAGTTTCTTGTAGCTATTAATATCAAACTTTAGGAACATTTTAGTCAGGCGTGGTGGTATGTACTTACAAGTCCCTGCTACCCTGGTGGCTGAGGTGGGAGGATTGCTTGAGTCCGGGAGGTCGAGGCTGCAGTTAGCTATGATCATGCCACGGCACTCCAGCCTGGGCGACGGAGCAAGACGCCATCTCTAGAAAGCAAACAAACAAAAATCCCCTAAGCTTTAGAAACATTTTATGATCTTTGTCCACGAGTAATCTGTTGTCTCAGAATTCATTGCAATGTGAGTTGAATCCCAAATCACAGAACTTAGCAACAATATGATTTTGGTGTCCCTAGAGTAGCTGATATATATGCATAGTGTGGTGGGTTGCCTGACGAACTCAGGGAGCAGAAGAACTAGAGTGGATCTGTGTGCTTTCTCTGACATTTTTCATAATTTTTTCTAGAAATGAGTACAGGTGGTGGCTCTGATGTACAGAAGACACCTTAGAACAGAACTGGCCTGCCAGTGGGTCAAGGGGTGGGAACCGTTTCAGCACTTTTACAACCTTGTAATGTGACGATCCCATTCGTATCATTAGATCAGAGAAATACGGTCTAGTTCTTGAATACAATGTTCAGGGCTCCATGGAAATTGAAAAGATGATAAGGTTTGTCAGTAGAACCAAGAAAGTGGAGCCAGGTGGTGGCTCAGTTTAAATCAACTGTCTGAAGGTACTCACACTAATCAGAAATGACAGAAGACTGATTAGCATAATGGACCAAAACAAAACTGAGTTCTGGATTTTGGCACCCAAGGAGAAATGGCGTCCTCAGTGGGACCACAATCAATGTGCATTATGTCTGTCCTTGGACACTTCACTGAACTTGGATAAAGGAAAAGATTTCTACGTGGCAAAAGTGCTTTAAATCTTGCATCTCTGAACCTCAGAATAGCATTGGTTCATCTGCAATATTTCCATAACGTTTAAAGTTAGACAAAATAGTAAAGCTTTGATGTAAAATTAGTATCCAGACAGAGTAAAAAGATGAGGTGGCTGCTGAACTGTGCACAGAAGTGAAAGCAAGCCCTATGGCTGATTTTAGAAAAACCTATTATTATTACTTTGGAGACAGAGTCTCACTGCAACCTCCACCTCCTGGGTTCAAGCGATTCTCCTGCCTCAGCCTCCCAAGTAGCTAGGATTACTGCCCTGGGGTCACAAGTGCCTGCCACCATGCCTGGCTAATTTTTGGATTTTTTGTAGAGATGGGGTTTTACCATGTTGGCCAGACTGGTCTCGAACTTCTGATCTTAGGTGATCCGCCCACCTCAGCTACCCAAATTGCTGGGATTATAGGTGTGGGCCACCATGCCTGACCAAGAAAGATCTATTCTTAGAAATCTCTGCAGATGCTCTAGAAAAATCCTTGAAATAATTCTTTTGAGTTTCATATGAAATATATTTCACTGATTTTCAAACTACTTTTGAAGACTTCCTATAAGCTAAGCAACTTATTAAGGGATCTGGTTACAAAAAAAGGATAAAGTATGATACATCCCCTGAAGCAGCCCCATTGTCTGAAGAAGATAACAGAATTGCTGTTTATCTACTCAAGATAAGTGAGTAGGTAGCCGCTTAAAAATCTTTCTCCTAAGCCCTGTTAGAGAAGCCCTGAGAAAGAAATTTTCTGTTACACAGAAATTATGTCTAGAAATTTCACTAAATCTAAAATAATTGTTTTCCTCACATGATGATTTCACGTTAAATTTAGTTTAAAAATTGATGCTTACAAGTAATTTGAAGAGTTTAAGCATTGTTCACTGCACTTTCTTCATTACACAAATCATGCACGAAGATCTCCATTAATCCTTCAGTTACCGTTCATTTATAGCTACATAGGCACAGCCATTCACAGATATACTTGAAAGATTCCCCCCCTTGTAGCAATCTAGAGCTTTCCTGCAGTGTTTTGAGGAACTTATGAATGAGTCTTCATGATAAGCATCACTGAAAGATTGATTCCGCATTCTCTGTGTGAGAGATGATTTTGTTGATCTGCTCTCAGTAGAGCATGCATAGTTTTTCCAGTGGTGGTGATGGGTTTGCACTGAGCACCCATACTATCCCACTTGGATTCCCTATAACAATTGCATGAATTTACAAGATGGCTAATCAGCATTACAAGTGCAATCTGTGCCTGAAAACAAAGAGCAGAACTGCCTGGTCTACGCAGGGAACAGTGTGATGGGCTTAACTTTGTTAGCATGGCATTCTAACCAGTAGAACTAACAATGCTGGGACCCTGTCTTCTGTTTTCTAAGAAGGAAGTGATAAAATGCATATATTCCATTTATGATGTGTGCTCATGTCTCATTCACATAAATCTGAATCCTTTTCAGTTCTTTTTCTTGAATTGAGATCTGTAATTCTCATGGCAGAAAACTTACCCTTTAAAGTGGTTTTTAGAACATTCTGAAGTTGTGCAGTCTTCACCACTCTCTAATTCCAGAACACTTTCATCACCCCCAAAAGAAACCTGGTATCCATTTCCTCCTCCACCCTGACACTGGCAAGGACCACCCTTTAGTTCTTTTTATTGTCTTTTTTTGCTAAGCATTTTAATCAAGTTTCAAATTCATTTTCTCACGGATTTCAACAAATAACATTTGGCTGACTTGCTCCAGCCTGGTTCTGGCATGTGTGACTTACCCTAAGTCTTTTCCTCCAGATCTTCCATTTTCATCCTGTTCCACTGTGGGATTTATTATACAAGTCTTCTATTGGGAATGCTTTTTTGTGTGACTTAAACCCTTTCTAAAGAAAACCCACATACATAGTTGTAAAACAAAACACACAAAAAATTCGTCTTTTCAAGAGGAACTCCTTTGAGGACAGCTTCATTTTCAGTCTCCACCAGAAACATCTCCTTTCGACCGTGTGTGTCCTAGAGTTGAACTTCTGTTGCAAGTCTGTGATTGAGGAGATCATCCTCTCTTTCTCTGTAAAAGTGTGATCCATTTGCATTCTTGATTTCATCACTAAATGATCGCATTTGTGTATGTCTTTCAGAATGCAGCTCTTCAGCATCTGTTTATTCGGAAGTCCTTCCGGCCTTTTAAATGCTTGCAGTGTGGGAAGGCCTTCCGGGAAAAGGACAAACTGGACCAGCACTTGCGTTTCCATGGGCGGGAGGGGAACTGCCCATTGACCTGTGATCTCTGTAACAAGGGCTTCATCAGCAGCGCATCCTTGGAGAGCCACATGAAGCTCCACTCAGACCAGAAGACTTACTCTTGCATTTTTTGCCCAGAATCCTTTGACCGCCTTGATTTGTTGAAAGATCATGTGGCCATTCATATTAATGATGGCTACTTCACCTGCCCAACTTGTAAGAAACGGTTCCCAGATTTTATCCAGGTGAGTATCTACTACTGAGATTGCTGTCTGCTTCCTTCTTTCGGTAAAAGAAACTTCGATTTTTGGAAAACTGAGACTGCCTAGCACCTGCCTTTTCATCTCTTCTTTGAAACAACTTTACTATTGAGAACAATATTTCTTCAATCAAACTACGTTTGTAAACAAAAGATTACTATGACCCTTAGTTGTCCAGATCAGACATTGACATTGAAGTGTTTAAGTTATGTTACAGGTAATAAACACCCAGATCTGTTATAATTTTTAAAAAGTCTTTAATAATCTTTATCAATATCTATTATAAGATATACAGAGCCTGTAGAAGACATACTCCCATTTCCGAGGCTGGGAAATTCTCCTCCCTACTACTGTGGTTTCCTGTCTTGCTTTACCAAGGCCATCCATTTTGGAAGGAAACAAAGAGAAAGTCGGTATATAACATACTTTTGTATCAAGCAACGACCGCCTTCTCCCCTGTAGTATATTCTTTGTTGGAGCAAAATGGATGAAGATAAATTTCAGAATAGTCATAATTTCATTTAGACTTTAAGTGATAAGATTTTCCTATGCTAGTCAGTGAATAATGAAGTATTTTGTAAAAATACTCTTTTTCAATTACCAAAGGAAAAGAAGACTAGGATTTAATTTTAGTTCTGCTCATGTTGAGGGGCTTGGAAATTTTCTCACTTTGCACAAACTAGGAGAAGGGTTGCTTTAAGGCATAATTTAATGGCAAAAGAAACTCCAAAAATAGTGAAGCAAACTGTCTTATGGGAATAGTTTGCTAGGACTCACTACTTAGCTTCCATCCTCAGCTCTTCTTCATTGGATATATGTGGCTAGGAGAGTTCAGAAGCCCTATTCCTTTATTTATCTAAAAGTAAGGGAATTAAGTCCTAGTTGAGAAATGACACCAGCGTCATATTGCTCTCATAAACCAGTAATGCCTTCTGTATCCTCTCATTCATGTATGTCTTTAATTCTTCAGAACTTTATTTTATAAGAAGATGTAAAAGGACCAAAAGGGGCTAAATTGCTTCTATGCAGATTAAAGATGGAGAAAAGTAAGGAAGAATTGGTTTTTGTCTTCCTATAGATCCTTTTTAGCAAGATTCATTTAAGCCCAAAGGAACTTTTACTTTTTATCTTTGAAAAATGGGTTGCAAGTGATCAGGGTTTGACCAAGCAAGCACTCTGTCTCCCACGTTTCAAGTCCTCTGGGAGGTTAGGGTTTCCAAGGCTTTCTGGCTACTTGTTTTGTTTCTTTGTGACAGGGACAGTATGTGTTATTGAGGCCAATTATCACATCTGATTGGATTCCTCCTCGGGGTTGATGAAAACCCATGGTAATGCATTTGGCTCCCTCTAGCGTTGACAAGCTGCCTTTGGTCATTTCCTTTGGTGCCTGTGTCCCCTGAGTTTTTCCATGGTTTTTACTACCAGGTGAAAAAACACGTGCGCAGCTTCCACTCCGAAAAGATCTACCAGTGCACAGAGTGCGACAAGGCCTTCTGTCGCCCGGACAAACTGCGACTCCACATGCTCCGGCATTCGGACCGCAAAGACTTCCTGTGTTCCACCTGTGGGAAGCAATTTAAGGTATGACAGGAAGACACAGCCCAAGGTGGTTCTCGTGGCCGCTGGAATTATCGCAAGCTGAGGGTAAATGCCTGTTCATTTCATCGGTTTATCACCCAGTTCTGATAAACTGGACCTGAGTGCACTTTGGGCCTTGTGTTTGACTTAGTTATAAAATTAAGGGGGGAAATTTACTTAATTCCTCAAGACAGTTAATTCAAATCTCCAAACAAGTAGAGTAAAAATGCATCTCCTAAAAGAATCCAAATGTATAATGACATTATAACTAAATTGCTGTTGAGATTTACTAACAGACCAATATCTTTACTTACCATTCAGATTAAGAGGTTTTTATTGAGCACTGGGTAAGGACCAGTAATTGAGGCTCGCAGGCAGCAGGACTCTGATCTGATACAGGGAAATCTGAAGAATGCTGAGAAGGCTTAGACTACTTTGGAGAATGTTAATGACCTCAAAGATTAAAGTAAAATGTAATAAGTGTCAGTAACCCACCTGGAACTTAAAAGAAGCCAAGCAAAACCCTGCAGGGGACCCAAAAATAAGAGTTAAATAAATAAATGTAAAAACAATGAAATGTGCTTCATTGGAAAATCAGGTGATTCTGCAAAATGTCATTGGAAGACGTTCTGCTGAATGTGATTGTAGGTCACACTCTCATGGAAATCGGAAAGAATCAAATGGATTCAGGAGAGGAAAATTAAGGGTATATTTATAACAAATGGAAAGAAAGTCAAGAGAAATAGAATTTTCAGAACTTGCTTTATGGTTAAGTGTGTTACAGAATATAATCTAATGGCTTTTAATATATAGTAGCACAATTTAGAATTCTGTAGAGAACTCCAATGTGAAAAGCATAAATAGGTCTGGGATTTTTCTATTCTTAAATTAAAAATACATACATACATATATATATATCTATATATATATATATATATATGTATCTAAAAAGATTCCTGTTTTGTGATACTGTTTGGCCATCCATCCATCCCATCCAGCCAATATTTTTTTGATTTTTCATTTTGTGCCAGATATCATATTTTAACACCTTGGAATTTTGTTTTAATGTCTCTACTTGCTTTCATTTTCTCCCTTTCACCCAGTATATTCATCACAGTTCAATCAGAGAAGCAGAACCACTATGAGTGTTACAGAAGATGATTTTCTTATAGGACTAAGAACTTAATTATAGCAGATGGAAAAGTGAGGGTCAGAAGGGAGAAGCTGGGAGGTTGGAACTCGGCAGTATGCCCACAGAAGCATTGGTCTGGGTGGTCAAATGGAAACTTACCTGGGACTCTGGGAACCAGGCACCTCCACCTGCAGGGGGGTGCAGGAAGGAGAGCTGGTGGAGTTTGTGGAAGACCATGTCACCGCATCTGGTGGCAGATTCAGAGCTGGCCAGCAGGGCTGGCAGTAAGGAAGACAGCTGGTGGCTGGGTGGGAAAGAGAGGAAAAGTAGGGACCCACAGGTACTTCTACTTGCCACCATCTAGAGCAGCACAGGGCTGCTTCCTTTCCACCTTCCAGGCTGGTGTGAGTTTCTCTTTGGCTAACTCCCAACTCGGAACCATGCTGGGAAGGAGATTCTCTTCAAATGTAGTTCCTCTTAGCCAAGTTGACACAGCACAAAACCACTACCACCTACCTTCCTAGCTTATTTTCAAACTAGAATCAGAGTAGTTTTTCTGGAGAACAGCTCTGATGCCACGTCCTTTCCAAAAAACTCTTTAATAGCTCGTCATGCAAATAAATCCCGAAGTTCTTGTTACTTCTAAAATGCTACAAGATCTGCCTCCTGCCAGTCTCTCTGGCTCCCGCCTCCCTGTGCACTCGGGGTGACCTGCCTGAACTACGTAGCCTCACCCATGTGGCATACTCTCTCTCCTTGGGCCTTTGTACTTGTTCTCCCTCCCGTTCCTGACTTGAAACGTACTTTCAAACTGTTGTATCCCTTCACCTGGCTAATGTCACTTCATATGTGGCATTTCCTGATCCCTGGATTAAGTGCTGCTTCTCCCATGAATTCCCACAGGGCTTTTCCTGGTGACTTTGTCATAGCATTTGTGTATCACAATTGCCCGTCCTGCTAAGTGTAAGCTCCATGAGGGCAGCATTAAAGTCAAGGTGGGACTTTCTGACTTTAGGGAGCTCACACTAGCATAGAGAAAAGAATAAAGTGCTGTGAGAGGGTTTCACTGATTTCAGGTGTAGGGGAGATATCATAGATACAGTGACACTTTTGAATCTACTCATGGGTGGGAAAGAGTTTGCCAGCTAGGGAAAGGGAAAGGTGAGGAGCGAGGGAGGGATATCGGCATCTCAAGCAGAGGCAGCAGCAGGGATGTGGCAATGCCATGATCAGGAGATGGGGAGAGGGAGAGTGATGGAGGCAGTGGCAAGAGGAAGCCAGGGAAGCAAGTTAAGCCAGCACACTGTGCCAAGTAATTAGACTTACCAGGAAGTGAGCCCTAGGCGTTTCAGAGCTGGGCTAATTCAGGCAGAGGCAGTGGGTGTGGAGAAGAGGGGCCATGTTCAAGACAGGCGTTGTGGGAGGCTGACAAGACCTTGCACTTGGATGAAAGGGGGAAGGGTGGACAGCAAGGAATGGAGATTTGCCACTTGAGAGGCTGGATGTTTGGGAACACCACTGGTACCAAAAAGCATGACTTCGGCAGAAGGAGTGGGGGCAGATAGCAGATTTGGTTTGGGGGATGTTAGGATGGAAAGACCTCATGGAGATTTGGCACCCAACACGTGTGCTTGTCACGATGTGCATGGCATAGTGTGATATTTGAGTTAGGCTTTGCAATTTATGTGGTAATTCAGTTAAGGTAAACTGGTTGTTTAAAGGGAATAGATGGGGGAACTAGTGGATGTTGAGGCTTGGAAAAAAGTGGAAATTTGGGAGGATTGGAGGAGGAGGAAGAGGAAAAGGAAAAAAAAAGTGGCAAAGCAACAATGTTTCATTGCTGTGTCTACACTAAAGAAAGATAGTGTCATTTGGCAGTGTCCTTAATCCAAATCCCACTATAGTCTACGAAGCTCTGAACATTCCCTCCTGGGCTTTCCAGAAGTGAAGGCAGGTGGGATAGGAAGAAAGAGGAGTTGGATCGCATGCATTGTAGCAGAAGAGGGAGGGAAGCCTGGCACTGGAGCTCGGCCCTTAGCCTGCTCCTTGATACTTGGTAGGCACTCAAGGAATATTCATTGAGTAAACGTGCTGAAAAAGGAAGTCCTTAAAAAGTCCCTGTGCCAAAAGGTGGGAAGAACTGGATTTGTAGAAAGGCCCAGAATCTTTATGGGACTAATAACAGTTTATTCATGTGTCCTAGAGCAGAAAGCCTCACTGGATCAGGGAGCTGGCACTTTGTTTTTATTCGGGATGGGCTCTGTCTGACTCTCTCCATGGACTCACGTGAGCATGTATCACTAGATAGTGAAACCAGGAGCTGAGCTCTGGGCCCCATGCTCCATCCATAGTAAACAATGGATTTGTTTACTTAAACTTCTAATTCTGTAAGGTGAGAGATTCTAAATCCACAAGATAGGAGATTCTTAAATTCTTTTGGGATTTAGAAAAATATATTTGCTAAAATGTGTGGGAATTGAGTATACGCATGGCTTTTTTCTTTTTTCTAGACAGAGCCTTGCTCTGTCAGCCTCCTAAGTAGCAGGGATTACAGGTACCCGTCACCACACCCAGCTAATTTTTGTATTTTTAGTAGAGACAGGGTTTTGCCATGTTGGCCAGGCTGGTCTCAAACTCCTGACCTCAGGTGATCTGCCCGCCTCTGCCTCCCAATATGCTGGGATTACAGGCGTGAGCCACCGCATCCAGCCTACACGTGGCTTCCAAAATCTGGTGCTACCTATTATTCATTGTCAATTTGTCTTTAGTTCTTTTATACCAGACTTATTCCATGTTCTCTTTAATCTTCTCTACGTAAGTGCAGTCTTTATTCTCAAAAGTTAGTATGTATCTTTCCTATTTAATGGTCATTTTAAACCAAGGCTTATTGGAATGTACATATTTGCTAGTGAACAGAGTAACTCCCAGCCACTTTTAACATGTCTTCCCATGTCCTAGTGTTCCAGCAACTCAGATGTCTCTTGGAGGCTTGTGGTGACTGCTAATTTCTATTGATTTTTAAAATTATCCCTTCACTTAAAATTTTTCTACCCCCATGTCTACCCCGTTTTAAAAAATTCTCTCTAAATAGCGAAAAGACAAGCTACGGGAACACATGCAGAGGATGCATAATCCCGAGAGGGAGGCCAAGAAAGCTGACCGCATCAGCCGCTCCAAGACGTTCAAGCCTCGCATCACGTCCACAGACTACGACAGCTTCACGTTCAAGTGCCGCCTGTGCATGATGGGTTTCCGGCGGCGCGGCATGCTGGTCAGTGTCAAGAGACTGCGGGTTCCTGTCTTCCCTGCACACCTCATTTCTGTCGATGATGGTCACTTTTGTGTTGTATTCTGTGCTAAGTTATGTTGATCAATGGTTTTGTCAATGTCCAGGGGAAGAAACAGAGGGAAACAATTCCCAATTTGGAGTTCTTTCTTTTCTAGTCTCCCTTTGCCCTCTCTTACTGCTTTTTGGGTCAATTCTTGCAAGAGGTCTTTTTCCGTCACTTTTCATTTTTTTTCATTGTTTTTCTTTACCCATCTCAATCTCTGCTCTCACCCTATTTTATTTCCCTCTTTTGTGTTCCTGTATGTATTTTCTTTTGGGATATTTGCCTCCTCCCCAGCTGTTCTGTTTTATTTTATTTTATTTATTTTTGAGATGGAGTTTCACTTTTGTTGCCCAGGCTGGAGTGCAGTGGTGCGATCTCAGCTCACTGCAACCTCCCCCTCCTGGGTTCAAGCGATTGTCTTGCCTCAGCCTCCTGAGTAGCTGGGATTACAGGCATCTGCCACTATCCCTGGCTAATTTTTATATTTTTAGTTGGATGGGGTTTTACCATGTTGGCCAGGCTGGTCTCAAATTCCTGACCTCAGGTAATCCACCTGTCTTGGCCTCCCAAAGTGCTGGGATTACAGGTGCGAGCCACTGCGCCCAGCCCCCAGCTATACCCTTTTAATGCCTCTCTTTTCCAGATACCAAACAGCAGTAGAAGGAAGCTTTCCATCAAAGCAGGGTGTGTGCATCCAGGTTAGCTGAAGCATCAAGACAGCTCGTGCTCTGCTCTCAACTCATTTTGACCTTGTTACAGGTGCAGAATCTATTTCTGCCAGGAGCTGGAAAGCCATAGAGCAATATTTAAAATTCAGAACCGTAGTCTGTATCTCATTCCACGTTCTTAGTAAGGCTAGGGCATTAAATAATGAAAGACAGGTTTGCATGAGGAGAATTCACCAAAGAAATTCATACCAGTGTAATTTTCCTTTTTCTAACAGTATTTCTTTCAGCCAAAGACTGTTGATGGCTGAATTCACCACACTGAATTCACCTACAATTGTTTGGTGAATTATGTTAACTTCTGTTAACCACGACTGTGAGTGCTTTGGTGTCAGTTGGGTCTGGTGATGCTGGTTCTGGTCAAATGCCTTATTATTTGGAAGCATTGCTTCAGAGAATTTCAGCTTCTGGCCATCATTATCAGAGGCATTTGTGCAGCTTCTGTTTGGTTAATAGGGTCCCTTTTTCTCATTTGCTCTTTGTTTTCACTTTAGGTAAATCACTTATCAAAGAGACATCCAGACATGAAGATAGAAGAGGTGCCAGAGTTAACCCTACCCATCATAAAGCCCAACCGTGATTACTTCTGTCAGTATTGCGATAAGGTAAAAGGGAAACATTCATGCCCCTGGGGCTCCCTGCTTAGAGCTGACTTGTCCACATTTACAAATACATACCACGATCTTTTTGTTATTCTTACCAGATGGTTCCCTGTCTCTCAGTAGTCTCCATTCAGACAAGAAAGGACTAAAATTAGTCTTACTTTAAGCCAATTTTTTTTTCTTAAGAAATAATTGACCATTTTTCTTACTTCCCTTCTCTCTGTGATTTTTGTTACACAAGAAGAGGCTATTACTAAGTGCATACTGTGTGAATTAATTTCAAGTTCCTAGGCCCTAAAACAAGAGTGTTTATGATATGGCCTATAAAATATATTGTAGATTTGGGGTTTCTATAAGGTGGAAGGGGTTGGGAAAGCTTTGTGGTGGAATACTCCACTTATACTATTCTGTTATTTTTGTGTAGTTACAGAAAAGACAGAGAATATGTATTTATTGTTTCACTGTAATATTGTTTCCCCTCCTTTTTTTTTTTTTTTTTTTTTTTTTTGAGACAGAGACTTGTTCTGTCTCCCAGGCTGGAGTGCAGTGGCATGATCTCAGCTCACTGCAACCTCCACCTCCTGGGTTTGAGTGATTCTCCTGCCTCAGCCTCTTGAGTAGTTGGGATTACAGGCTCCCCCACCACACCCGGCTGATTTTTGTATTTTTAGTAGACATGGGGTTTCACCATGTTGGCCAGGTTGGTCTTGAACTCCTGACCTCAGGTGATTCCCCCCACCTTGGCCTCCCAAAGTGCTGGGATTATACACGTGAGCCACCACGCCCAGCCATCCTTTCCTTATATAATGTAGCTATATCAGTTTAAAAGTGAGAAACATTTTTGAACATAGATTCTCCACTAAAGATAGCAGTTGCTATTGACGTTGCCATTTGGAAGATTCTCGGGCTCCTGGTCTTCAGCTGCATATATCATGAGAGCTTTCACAGGCAGTTCTCATGTGAAGTGGATGAACCTTAAAAACAGTTCTCTTCCTGTGTCTGTGTATCATATCCAAATTTTAAACTTGAGGATAAAGGGTATTTTCACAGTTATTATCTTAGATTTATAAATCAAAGGAAGAAACCTAGCATATCTATATTATGTTCTTATTTTATTCTGATTTGTAATATATCCTTGTGTCCTTCAATAGATCTGTTTATATATATGTGCTGGACCTATATATATATATAGTTTCTTTGGGACTACATGAATACTTTTCCTCATTTTCTTGTAATGAAATTGCTAGTTTGCTTCAAGCAAGAACGTGGAGCTGTATACTGCTTTCACAGCCAGGCATTTGCATTTGCAGGTTTATAAAAGTGCCAGCAAGCGCAAAGCCCACATTCTGAAGAACCACCCAGGAGCAGAGCTGCCACCGAGCATTCGGAAACTCCGGCCAGCTGGTCCTGGCGAGCCAGACCCCATGCTGAGCACACACACCCAGCTGACAGGCACCATCGCCACCCCTCCCGTCTGCTGTCCCCACTGCTCCAAGCAGTACAGTAGCAAGGTAGGGAGACTTTCTGACTAAAGCTGAGGTCAAAACTGCCGTGTAAGGAATCTCTTAAGGGAAGATGGCGTCTCATCCACATGGCCTGGATGGCTCCTTCTGAGTTGAAAGAGATGTTGTCCTAGTCCCTGTAAACAGGGACCACAGCAGAGAATGGAAAGAGAATACTGCGGGACCTCCCCCAGAATTAGTGCCGAACAACAGCCCGAACAGCTGGCTGCTTTCCTTTTCCCTTGGCCTGCAGAGGGCCTCATATTTGAATATTCTGTGCTCGTATTTGGTGAGTTTAGGCTTATGGAAGCACCACATAGAAAGTTAAGTGATGGCTTTAGAAAGGAGGTCATTTTGGCTGGGGGCATTGTGATTGATTGCTGCAGGTACTAGTTAAGGGGGGTATTTGTGTATTCGGACCTTGCTCATGGTGTGGGGTCAAGTGAGGTTTTGCTTCTTCCCCACCCTCTTTCCTGCTTTTATAGCATTATGTTACCCCAGGAAGTACAGGCATAGAGTCAGTGTTGCTCTGATTTTTCTTTTTTTAAGACATAAGATAACAGACTTTAGGAATCTTTGGAGGATTTACATATGAGAAAAATGGAAAATCACAAATTCTAATAATTATTCTTCTTTCTTGCCTTGCTTTTTCAGACCAAAATGGTCCAGCACATTCGAAAGAAGCATCCGGAGTTCGCCCAGCTCTCCAACACCATACACACACCACTGACGACAGCTGTGATCAGTGCCACCCCAGCAGTTTTAACTACAGACAGCGCCACTGGAGAGACCGTGGTGACGACGGACCTGCTCACCCAAGCAATGACAGAACTGTCCCAGACCTTAACGACAGACTACCGAACGCCGCAGGGGGATTACCCGAGAATTCAGTACATCCCTGTGTCGCAGTCGGCGTCTGGGCTCCAGCAGCCTCAGCACATACAGCTTCAAGTGGTGCAAGTGGCCCCGGTACTGCATGCCTCTGTTTCCCTTTGCCTTATGAATGCCGTATTGCCTGCCACCAGCACCTCATTCGCAGAGCTGGGGCTGGGATCTATGTAATGCTCTTCTGCGTGGAAGTTCTGAGCCTTGGGCATTTGTAAAATGCCCCTTCCCCTTTCAGGCTAATGAGGCCTCTGGCCTTAGCAGTGTAAGAGATTTCTGTCTATAGTAGCCAGGAGATTTTAGGCTCCAGCATGTACAAGCCTCCTGTGCTGTGGCAGGACAGTAGCCACAGCACCTGTTTCTGAGCCTTTTCTGAATCCTTATCTTTTACCATCCTGGTTGGCTACTTGGTAATGAGCCAGCTTGATAAATCATGACCTGCGTATCAAATGTCTTATATCAAAGAGAGGTTGTAAAGAACAGTATTGATGGATGGGCACAGTGGCTCACGCCTGTAATTCCAGCACTTTGGGAGACCAAGGTGGGCACATCTCTTGAGGTCAGGAGTTCAAGACCAGCCTGGCCAACATGGCAAAAACCCATGTGTACTGAAAATACAAAAATTAGCCAGGTGTGGTGGCAGGTGCTTGTAATCCCAGCTACTCAGGAGGCTGGGGCAGGAGAATTGCTTGAACTTGGGAGGCAGAGGTTGCAGTGAGCCGAGATCACACCATTGCACTCCAGCCCAGGCAGCAGAGTGAAACTTTGTGTCAAAAAAAAAAAAAAAGAATATTGATTCAATCTCTGAGTATCAATCAGTGCCTTCTTAGTAAAGAGGTAAAACTGTGTTCCTTCTACCAGATAATGAAGAACTCATTCTTACTAAGGAGCTAAATGAAAGAATTCTCCCAGAACTGTTGTTTCATTTAATTACACTGAGGAGAAGTGTCCCCAAGGCACAAATGAACAAACTTGTTGCTTTGAAATCATTTGGTCTCTGAAAATTTAAAACTAACGTGGGAACAGGACATTGGAAGTTGTCACTGTCATTGACTATTCTTTGTCTTGTTTTTCTTGTGGAGGGTTTTTAACTTTAGGCTTTGGAGGAACTTAGGAGTCCCTCAGGCTGCCTGTAAAGTAAAGTATGATGTATAGGTACACTGTTCTAGAAAAAGGGCCTGTACTTTAGCCACTGTTTCAAAGATGTTCTTGGTACATAAAAGGTTAAGGACCTCTGTTCTAGTGGGTTAATAGCGACAAACTAAAAGCAAATTCTATTCTTTGATCTCTTTTAATTGATAAAGGGTAGATCATTAAATGCAACTGAAATTTTTGATTCCCGACAACTTTTTCAGCTTACTGTCAGAACTATCTTCCCTCTGCCTTCTCTTCCAGAATCTAATAACATTAGCGGCTTATGTGTTAGAAGCAAAGTTCTTTAAACGATCTTTTTCTATTCTGTTGTCTGGCTTGGCCTAGGTGTGGCCTATCCGGGAATGCAGCATTGGAACTGAAATTCCTTCCATTCTTCTATTTCTGTTGGCATATATTGGGATATAGGTTTTTCTTTTTTTTTTTCTTTTTTTTTGAAACAGGGTCTCACTCTGAAGTGCAGTGGCACAATCATGTTTCACTGCAACCTCAACCTCCTGGACTCAGATATTCCTCCTACCTCTGCCTCATCAATAGCTGGGTCTATAGGCATGCCATCATGCCTGGCTAATGTTTTTTTGAGATGGAGTCTCTCTGTTGCCCAGGCTGGAGTGCAGTGGCACGATTTCAGCTCACTGCAACCTCTGCCTCCCATGTTCAAGTGATTCTTCTGCCTCAGCCTCCCAAGTAGCTGGGATTACAGGCACCCGCCACCATACCCAGCTAATTTTTGTATTTTTAGTGGAGACAGGTTTCACTATGATGGTCAGGCTGGTCTCAAAGCGATCCCTCCGCCTCAGCCTCCCAAAGTGCTGGGATTATAGACATGAGCCACCATGCCCCGCCACCTGGCTAGTTTTTATATTTTTTTGTAGAGACAGGGTTTTGCCATGTTGCCCAGGCTGGTCTTGAACTCATGGGCTAAAGTGACCCACCTGCCTTGGTCTCCCAAAGTGCTGGAATTATAGGCCATGAGCCACTGCCCCCAGCTAGGATACTGTTTTTTAACTGAACCTTTTCTCTAGAAGGATTTCCCTTAACCTCAATCAATATATATCTGGTTTCTGGGCCTGTTTTTTCTCCCTTCAGGCCACCTCCCCTCACCAGTCACAGCAGTCCACTGTGGATGTAGGCCAGCTCCACGATCCTCAGCCCTACCCCCAGCATGCCATCCAGGTGCAGCACATCCAGGTCAGCGAGCCCACCGCCTCGGCCCCGTCCTCGGCCCAGGTACCCTGTTCCACAGACTATTTGGAGGCATTAGCATGGCCTCAGGTACTATTGGAGTTAATGAGAGGGAGGACTTTCTCTTTAGACCTCAGCTACTGAGATACTGTTGTTTCTGGATTTTTTATTAAAGGATCATACCTTTGCCTCCAATTTTTATATTGGTATTATGGACACACATTAAGCTATTGGCTGCTTCTGCCCACATGGAGCCCTGTGATATGACATCCTAGAAACAACAGTGGCCTTTGCCTTCCATTCTAAATGCAATGATTTGGAATAGTGGCTTTGTGGAGTATTATGGTATATTGTATGTTACTGTGTTTGTATGCTTGCGTCTGATATTAGATACATATATAAGTTCTCGAAGTTCAGAGAGGGAGAGATTAGATTTAGGAGATAACCCAGGGCATTTTTGTAGAAGAAGCTGTCTTTGAAAGAGGTTTTGAAGGAGGGGTACAGTTCTGACATAATAGTTGGGGAAGGCATTCTGATCTGAATAAGCTCATGCTGTGATGGAAAACGTACATTAATGTGGTATAAATGTGGTACATTTATAGAAAACAGTTATTCTGTTAGATTACTAACAGGAAATGGCGTTTGGAAAGGAAGCTGGGAGGGTAGTTTGGAGCGGCATTGCAGTGTGACAGCTGGAGAGCGCTGGCCTCATCCTGTTGTCAGGCGTTCACCAACCTGTGCCAAACTCCACCAGCCGGGTGGGATTAGCCAGCGCTGGTTAATGGAAGTGGTGACCTCTGGGTTCTGTTTCATTTTGTGTTCCAGATTAGCTTTGTGACACAGGCAAGTGATTTCACCTCCCATTATTTTTAACCTTATATAATGTAGGTAATTATATTTTCTTTCATTTATCTTTGTAACAAGTTGATGGAAATTAATTTTTTGCATACTCTGGTAGAGAATCCTTTGAAAACAAATTAGAATTTCATAGTCATGCTTGCTTTTCATTGATTTTATTCTTATTTAAAGTATTACTTTCAATAATAGCAATGATAGTTTCAGTATTATAATTCATATTAGTCTGATTTACTTCCTTCAGTTTTTTGTACATCTTCAGTATATTAGAAGTTCATAATTCCCTACCATTGCTTTCTGTTTCTCCCCAGGTATCTGCGCAGCCATTGAGTCCCTCAGCCCAGCAGGCTCAGCAGGGACTCAGCCCCTCCCACATCCAGGGCAGTTCTTCCACACAGGGCCAGGCTCTGCAGCAGCAGCAGCAGCAGCAGCAGAATTCCTCTGTGCAGCACACGTACCTGCCCAGCACTTGGAATTCCTTCCGTGGCTATTGTAAGTAAGATGGGACAATGCCATGTAGGTCAGAGGCGGGGGATCTCCAGCCATGTGTCATAATTTCTTCAGCTTTATGATAAAATTTTAAAGTATCTATTGGCCATTTTGTCCACTCTGTAGTGCATATACTTCAATGAGTTTCGTGACAAAACTCAAGGTCTAGCATTCTGATTCAGGGAGCTACCCTGATGTGACATTTTTGAAACGTCAGGTATATTGCTGGAGGAAATGCAGCTGTGTAATTTAAATAGTAATATAGATGGATATACGCTATGTTGACGGTGCTAATTCATCCTTTCCACCAATATTTGTAGAATGCCTGTGTATCAATCATTGCACTAGGGCCTGGCTATGCCAAGATTAATATTCTCATTTATATCAGTAACACCACACAATAATAATGTTAACCAATTTTCATTAAGCTCTTACTATATTGCCCAGAATGATTCTGAACCATATATATCACAGTCAGTATTCACAACAACCTATCAGGTAAGTACAATTGTTATTTGCATTTTACAGATAAGACAGTTCCCAGACGTTCACTTTTTCTAAGAGCTAGGAAACAGAGGTTTGGATCCCCGGCAGTCTGGCTTCAGAGTGTAGACTCTAAACCACCCCACTGTGCTGCTGCTCCAAAGAAAATAGTCTTTGGCTCAAAGAGACCATCATCTAGTAAGGGAGAGAGAGATATGAGTAGTTGATTCCCAAACCCTGAGCTTCATCTATGGAAACAGTAACAGGCTGACTGACAGAGGTCAGAGAAGGTAAACATGTTGGTGGGGAAACAGGAAGCATGAGACCTTTATCATGGAAGATGTGGAAGGAACAGGAGTAGAGGAAACAGACCTCAGTAGTCACAAGTAGGAGGAGCAGGTGCTGAGAAGGTCAGTGTTGATCTTTCTTCTGTTGATTTCTTTTTGGGGGGCCCGTCTTTGTCATGATTGAGCCTTGGCTATGTTACATAGATTTGCTACAGAGTCAGGCTCAAACTCTACCATCTAGTTATTTTTACAAGCTGTAGTGTTTTTTTTTGAGACTGAGTCTTACTTTGTTGCCCAGGCTGGAGTGCAATGGTGCAACCTCGGCTCATTGCAACCTCTGCCTCCCGGGTTCAAGCAGTTCTCCTGCCCCAGCCTCCTCAGTAGGTGGGATTACAGGTGCACGCTACCACACCTGGCTAATATTTGTATTTTTAGTAGAGACAGGGTTTCACTGCGTTGGCTAGGCTGGTCTCGAACTCCTGATCTCAGGTGATCCACCTCAGTCTCCGAAAGTGCTGAGATTACAGGCGTGAGCCACCATGCCTGGCCATAATCTATACTCTTAAACAAATTAGGGGTCACAGCGAGGGCTGGATCTGGTTTCCAGTTGGGGAAAGACTGTCTTACCTGTAGAATCTGGTGAACAGACTGACCTCTGTACTCAGTGTAATTCCTGTTACGGAAAGTGGAGTGGGCCGGGCATGGTGGTTCACACCTGTAATCCCAGCACTTTGGGAGGCTGAGGCAGGCGGATCACCTGAGGTCAGGATTTTGAGACCAGCCTGGCCAACATAGTGAAACCTCATCTCTATTAAAAATACAAAAAAATTAGCCAGGTGTGGTGGTGGGCATCTGTAATCTCAGCTGCTCAGAAGTCTGAGGCAGGAGAATTGCTTGAGCCTGGGAGGTGAAGATCATGCCACCACACTCCAGCCTGGGCAACAGAGCAAGACTCCATCTCAAAAAAGCAAAAGTGGAATGATGAAGATACTCATGGTAATAATAGGAGGAGTTAGCATTCTAATCTGTAGAAAGATTCTGGGACTGAAATTTATTAGGAAAAAATATAAAAACATAAAAGTAGAGAGAGGAGTGTAATGAGCCATCCTATACCCATTGACCAGCCTCAGCAGTTACCAACTTACACCCAGCCTTGTCTCATATATGCACCCATCATTATCTTCCATCCTCCAACTGAATAATGCTTCATCGTATCACCTCATCCATAAATATTTTGGTATATATCTCTAAAAGAAAAAGACTCTTCGAGACAGGGTTTTGCTCTGTTGTTCAGGCTGGAGAATGCAGTGGCATGATCATGGCTCACTGCAGCTTTGACCTGGGCTCAAGTGATCCACCCACCTTAGACTCCCCAAGTGCTGGGCTTATAGGTGTGGGCCACCACATGTGATCTAATTTTTAAAATTTTTTGTAGAGCCAGGGTCTCACTATATTGGCTAAGTTGGTCTCAAACCCCTGGGCTCAAGTGATTGTCCTCCCTTGGCTTCCCAAAGTGCTAGATTACAGGCATGAGTCCCTGTGCCTGGCCATGATTCTAGCATCCTTATTCATTAGCTAGAAAACTTTTATAAATAAAAAATTTTGCCTTAACTACCAAGTTACTCTCAGGTACACTTTGTACAAGAAAGGCAGGACAAATGCTTTAAATAGCTGATTCATTTCCTTTGTTTACCAAATCCTTTGTGGATATTGAGAAGCCACATTTGAAGGGGAATGTACTGACTGTCTCTGACACTGGGTAGCTGCATACCAGCCTCTTCTCAATTAGCAGAGATGCTTTCACTGTACCAAGAAATCACATCATTGTGAGACTGTCGTGGCAAGCAAATCAGTGGGGATTGTGGCTACTGGTTCTGTTTTTGTTTCTAAAACTTGTGTTAAAATCCGAGACCACTGAACTATGAATATTTCCTGTTTTTTAGCATCTGAGATTCAAATGATGACGCTTCCCCCAGGTCAGTTCGTGATTACAGACAGCGGTGTGGCGACTCCAGTTACTACTGGCCAGGTGAAGGCGGTTACTCCGGTAAGCTATGCTACTCGGTCGGGTTTTTCCTGTCCGACCTGTGGTGCTATACAATCACTCTTATCACCACTTATGTTTTAATGATGGCTTTCTCTGTTTTCTCACAGTAGACGATGAATTCTTTGAAAGCTGGGTCTTGGGCTTTATCACTTTATCCTCAGTGCCCTGTTCAGGAGGCTGGGATATAGCAAATGCTCAATAAGTATCTGTTCAGTAACTGCAATGGTCCTAGCTCCATCCCTATGAGTGCCTTTTTTCTGAGAAAGAGTCCTCTGTCTCCAGGCTGGAATGCAGTGGCACAATCCCAGCTCACTACAACCTCCACCTCCTGGGTTCAAGCGATTCTAGTGCCTCAGCCTCCCAAGTAGCTGGAATTACAGGCGGGCGCCACCATACCTGGCTAATTTTTGTGTTTTTAGTAGAGACGGGTTTTCACTATATTAGCCAGGCTGGTCTCAGAATCTCTACCTCAGGTGATCCACCCACCTCTACCTCCCAAAGTGCTGGGATTACAGCTGTGAGCCACTGCACCCGGCCCTTATGGGCGCTTTTATATGCTTCATGGAAAGATTGAGTCCTCAAGACAATTGGCCCACAATTAGGTTGGGAGAGAATAATATAATGAATCAATTATGGCTGTATTAAACATGTCACCCACCCAAAGGTGAAAAACATTGCCGTAAATTATCTAAGTTGGGCAGGTACAGTGTTGATTGTATCTCCTTCTTCTGTTTTACCTTCTCTGGTTTGTTCTGGCCTGCCTCTAAGTTATTAGAAGACAGAGTACATACATATGAATTTAGAAAAACACTCTTGGCTAGGCACAATGGCTCACGCCTATAATTCCGACACTTTGGGAGGCCAAGGCGGACAGATCACTTGAGGTCAGGAGTTCAAGACCAGCCTGGCCAACATGGTGAAACCCTGTCTCTACTAAAAATACAAAAATTACCTGGGTGTGGTGGTGCACCCCTATAATCCCAGCTACTTGGGAGGCTGAGGCAAGAGAATCGCTTGAACCTGGGAGGTGGAGGTTGCGGTGAGCAGAGGTCGCACCACTGTGCTCTAGCTTGGGCAACAGAGTGAGACTGTCTCAGAAAAGACAAAAAAGGGAAAGTACTCCCGGATGGATACGTTCTGGAGACCTAGGGTACAGCATACTGGCTGTGTTCTCAATCATGTATGGTACACTTGAAAACTGTTAACATAGTATAGATGTTTTTTGCCACAAAAAAAAAAAGGTAAGTGCATGAGTCGATGGATATGTTAATCAGGTTGATTTGTTTAATTATACCTTATTAAAGCTAGGAGAGAGGAAAAGTGATCTTCAATGGCTAGGAATATTGAGATATTCCCAAGGGAAGACTTTCTTAGAGGTTTCAGAAGGTCGCTAGCTAGACTAGTGGCCTCAAAAACCTGATTTTTTTTCTTTTCTTTTCTTTTTTTTTAAGTACACTGAGAGCTCACCTGTTTCTCAGCACACAAGGTCATATTAACTAGACTTAGGAGAGATATGTAAATCCATAGTAACACTATTAATTGTCAGTGAAAACAGTAACAAATGTAAAATGAAATAATGCATTGCCATGATCGGGGCATTTTTTTGCTCCCTGTCGGACCCATTGACTTTGACCTTTTTCTGGCCTGGAACTCATTCGAGAATGGTTGTAGTGAAGGTTGTTTCTCTTTCCCTGCCACAGTGTACTTGCACACTAATTTAATGTACATTTTCAGGGGTCCGTGTATTCTCTGCAGCCCACCTATGGACCCCCTAGGAGTCAGTGGACCCTAGGTTGAGAACTAGCCCCCTCCCCACATGGAAAAGCCAATCATAATCAGAACGTTGTTTGGTGGGGTGAACTCAGAACATCTGACCCTAGAGGAATCAAATGGGTATTTGGTGATGGCTCTTTTCTGGGAAGTGCAAAGACAGGCTACTGCCTGAGAGTCTCTCTGTGACGTCTCTTTTCCTCTGTTCTGTAGCTGACCAACCCTCCTTCTGACTGACAGACACATTTCTTTAAAAATGTTAATGTAACAAAATAGCCAGCTACAGGTCTATGAAGATGTTTTCATGATGAGGGGAAAAATAAGAAAACAAAGACAATGTGTAAGTTTTCATAAAGCTAAATTTATTCAGTATAAAGGATTTTATTCTGAGATACTGTTGTTTCTATGCTCTTGAGTGTTAAAATGTCTATTTGATGGTAGCATATTTTAAATGACCTTACTTGACAAAATAAAATTTGGGGACCATTTATTATTTTTTAAGATTTTGCTGGTCTTTTGAAATTCTGAAGTCAGATCTTGCTACTTGTCTTCAGGGCCATTCTGCCTCTTCAGTGAGACTTTAAATATCTCTTCTTTGATCCATTCTATGTTAATCTTGACATCAAATGGACAGTTAACCATCTTTTCTGAATTTGTGAATTCTTAGGAGCATTACAACAGCACATTTTGTTTGCCTCTTATGTTGCCACCATGATGCAAATTACTGTCCCTGAAGCTGTTCACTGTATCATTTGTTGAAACTGCTAATGTGCTGCTTTAAGGCACTTACCTTTGTAGTCAGTTAATGTGACTGATTCGCCCTCTCTAAAGGACTTAGGTAAAGCATCTCTCATAGATGCCTATTTTGGGTCCCTTATGACATTTCTTCACATTTCTCTCTTCCCCAGTAGCTTCACCCTCCCTTTAAGTCCCCAGGTGTTTAAAGATCCTTTTCTTCCTCCTCTAGGGTCATTATGTGTTGTCAGAAAGTCAACCAGAATTGGAAGAAAAGCAGACTTCTGCCCTTTCTGGTGGAGTCCAGGTCCAGCCTCCTGCACACAGTGACTCCTTGGACCCCCAGACCACCAGCCAACAGCAGACCACACAGTACATCATCACCACCACCACCAATGGGAACGGAAGCAGCGAAGTGCACATCACCAAACCGTGACTTCTACCCTGGAGCTCCAGTCCAGCACCCACCTCATGTCTGTTCTGACATGAGTTTCATAAGTCTGAAAGCTCTGACACTTAGAACTCTTTTGTAAGATTTATTATTCACTCAAGAGTTTGGAAACAGCAGTTTCGTCTCTCATGCATACACTGGGGTTTATTTTATCAAGGTCACCTTTATCAAACTCACTCTTCAAACCCTCAGTTTTTGCCATGGAATGGAGGTCTTTCAGGGGAAAGTAGATTACGAGATGGAGAGAATCGGACTTGCTCTTGAGTTGTTTTTTTAACACGCTGACAAGCCTTACTTTTCCTTTGTGGAAATATTAAGTGGCGTATTCATACCAAAGGTGGAGAAAGGATGTGCCAAGTCCATGGTTACCGGACTTCTTATTCCAAGCTATGGCACCGAAGGAGAAGGGGCATTTTGTGGGTATGTGTTAGGTCTGAACTGCTTTATCTTGTGAGTTTTAGTTTTCAGTAATTTCCAAAGGAAGCCTGTCGAATAAGCAAATAAAAATGATGAAACAAAAGTTTGACAGTGATGTTCTGAAGGAATAACTGTCATCTAAATTTTTCTTATTGCTGATTTATTTTTAACTTCCCTATTTTAGAAAACTATTGTTGGGCTGCTGGTAGTGCTTTCCACAGATGCTGGTCCTCAGTGGATTAGGTCAGGAGCTGATGTTCTGATAGCTCTTCATTATTTCACAAGGTGGATTCCCTGAAAGAGAAGAGGCTGCTTGAAGTCAGCAGAATCTAAACCCTTACATTCAAACTTTGCCTCCCATTCTCTGGTTGTGGTGGTGGTAAGAAAGAGATATTGGTACCAAGAAAAATTACCAAAACTGTTGAGAGAGAGAGTATTGAAATTTTGTTCTGCCTTGCAGGATTCATTTGTCATTCATTGGTAAAGGATGCATTCCATGTTCTTACCAAGTGTACATTTAACTCTTGCTGACAGTGTTCAGTGTATTTTAGTACTTCTAATGCTGTCTTAAAATGAACATTCTTTAAAGTTGAATGGAAAGGTGGCATTTCATATTTCTTAACACTTTTAACGGTAAACATATTGTGACTCATCTGGACCTTTTAATAAGATGATCAACTTCACACTTAGGGAAAAATTAAAATGTGGGGACCGCTTATAATAATTAAGATAGTTACAAGGGATCTGGAAGAAATCCAGTCTTTATGAGTATACTGTTAGTTGGGCATTAAAAAAACCAGTATATATTTTAACAACTTTTTGTGACACAGTAACACATTTTTAGAATAATTATTGCATGGTAGAATTTATTACTCCAGAACAGAAAGACCTTACTTCATTTCAAATGAAGTTCGCTAATTAATTTACATTTCTGGGTAAAAACTGTTTTTTGTTTTTGAGATGGAGTCTCACTCTGTTACCCAGGCTGGAGTGCAGTGGTGCAATCTCGGCTCACTGCAACCCCCGCCTCCTGGGTTCAAGCAATTCTCCTGCCTCAGCTTCCTGAGTAGCTGGAATTACAGGCACATGCCACCACGCCCAGCTAATTTAGAGACGGGGTTTCCCCATGTTGGTCAGACTGGTCTCAAACTCCTGACCTCATGATCCTCCCTCCTGGGCCTCTCAAAGTGCTGGGATTACAGGCGTGAGCCACCGCACCCCGCCTAAAACTGGATCTATAAATTAAGTAGAGTCGCTTCTTTATGATAAAGACATGTTTCTGAAAAGTGAACAGTTCTGTTGAAAGAACCTTGTTAATATGTAGATTTTGCACTTTATTTCTGAGACCCCTTTCATGTAGTTCTTCCCCAACCTTTGAGTACTAAGAGAACTTGAGAAAGTTGCTTCATAAAGATATGGAAACCGAAAATGGACTCTCTATCTTTGTGACAAAGATATTCAACAGAAAATATTGACCCTGCATTACAAAATACAGACTTGGGTTCCCTAACTCCCACAGTGTAATGATTACAAATATTCCTAGTGTCCAATCTAGAAAGACTTTCTAGGGAAAGAATGGTGGAATTTTCTAAAGGTCCAGTTTTAGCTTTTATAACTTAAATTTGGCCCTGTTAACGTTCTTTTTAATTTGAACCAGTAAGGTGTCTCTCCTCCCCTCAGGAATAACTTATTGGAAAATTGAAAAGAGTCACTGAATGGAATGTTCATTTTATGGCAGTTATTTAAATTTTTTAATTTATTTTTATTTTTTTCTCCCCCCCTACCCGTCCTCCTCTCAGTTATTTTAAGTTTTAAAATACACAGAGGAAAATATTGTGGAAGGACCTCTTTGTCTCCCTTCTAAGTTCTCTTCTTCTTCTTCTTCTTTGGTCCTTATGTGAAATAAAGACTCTAAAACTAATTTTTATATTATCAGCCAGAGATGCAGATGGCAGTCGAGCCAAGTCATGTGGCTTTCAGATCAGGTGTTCTGCACATTCATTCCAAGGTCATAGATTTCTAAAAGGACCTGGATTTGAAGAGATGGCCAACGATGAGCCATCTGAAGACTCAATGTGGAAAACATGTATGTAGCCAGTGTGGATATTGTGGCCTCTCTCAAGACACATTGACACTGTAGACTTCATTCAGTGCAGTGTGAGTATTTTGGAGTAGGTTGGATGTAGATTTTGTTTTTATTATTGATTTGTACCAACGGAAATAGACATTTCATCATGTGAAATTCCTGTTATCCTGGAAAAAAAATACTTGTTTTGATCTTCTTGTTTTCTGACTTGGAAGTATCCTTTCAAAAAGCTCTTAAGATATCTAGGTCTAAAAAGCACTTCATGAGATGCTAAAGCTGACCCACTGGTTGAAAATGTTGACCCTATCCTGTTATTTAAATGTGAACATTTATTGTACATTCAGTGAGTTATAGTGTTAATAGTCTTGTGCTATGCAGCAGGTGTAAAAATTAATAAATATTTTTTTTTAATAAACAAAATATTTGTTTGTTTGTATGTGTGACGCTACCAGAGCGATTTTTCTTTTAAGAATTGCAGCTTCTGACCGGGTGTGGTAACTCATGCCTGTAATTCCAGCACTTTGGGAAGCTGAGGCTGGTGGATCACTTGAGGTCAGGAGTTTGAGACCAGCCTGGCAAACATGGTAAAACCCTGTCTCTACTAAAAATACAAAAATTAGCCTGGCATGGTGGTGGGCACCTGTAATCTCAGCTACTTGGGAGGCCGAGGCAGGAGAATTTCTTGAACCTGGGAGTCAGAGGTTGCAGTGAGCTGAGATTGCACCATTGCACTCCAGCCTGGGCGACAGAGCAAGACTCAGTCTGGAAAAAAAAAAAAAAGAATTGCAATGAATTCTAATTTCCAGTGTTGCATGCAGGAAGCTTGGAAGTGGTCTCTCCATCCTAGCAATAAGTAAGAAGCTAAGCCAATGTAGAGATTGACATCTCTCCTTAGATCTGTCAGAAAGGTGAGCTCACAGGACAAACTGCTGTTCCCAAAATTGTAAAGACAAACAGGCAAATACAGAGAATCACAGCTTATAGAACAGAAACCCGTGAGAAAAAAAACAACAACAACCCATGAGCAATAAACTCTGCGAGAACCAAAACGGGGTAGGAAAACTTGAACTATATTTGATGAATTGCTACAGGCTCAGTGTGGACAAATCTGGGAGGTTAAAAACTCTAGGGGACTCAGTCACTGAACAGGGATCAAGGGAGACCCACAATTTTGTGAGTTTTATCCCCAGGAGCTTGACCAGGTTCTCGCAGTGAAATCTGGAGAAAAATCCCCTCATGTTTCCAGCAGAGAAAGGGGAGAAGGAACGATTTTGAAATTCTCCAGAACTTTCTGATCTTTCTATTATAACGAGCACCTAAACTACTGAAGTTACAGCAGAACCTCACTCACCTGGAGGAAGAGAAATCCCCAGCTCCAGCCCATTATCGCCATCATCCCTCATCTAAGGGGGATAACTGAGCGGCACTTGTGAAGTTCACAGTCCAGAGGCATGGGCTCACCAGAAGATTGAAACCTCCTTCAGGAATGCAGAATGCGTCCCCTGCCCCAACACCCTGCCATCACGTTGTTGAAGGTCTACAGAAATTCTCTCTACCTGGCACATCATGACCAGCTACCAAGAAAAACACTACAAGGCATACTAAGAGGCAAAAGACACAAATTTGAAGAATGAGAGCAAACATCAGACCCAGATTAAGATATGACCGAGATGTTGGAATTTGCAGACTGGGAATTTAAAACAACTGTGATCAATGTGAAAAGGGCTCTACTAAAGAAAGTAGCTAACAAACAATGTAAGGAGAGAGATGGAAGCCCTAAGAATGCACTAAAATGCTAGAGATAAAAAATGAAGAGTAGGCTGGGCACAGCAGCTCACACCTGTAATCCCAGCACTTTGGGAGGCTAAGGTGGGTGGATAATTTGAGGTCAGGAGTTCCAAGACCAGCCTGACCAACATGGTAAAACCCACCTCTATTAAAAATGCAAAAATTAGCCAGAGGCATGGTGGCGGGCTCCTATAATCCCAGCTACTCAGGTGGCTTGAACTCAGGAGGTGGAGGTTGCAGTGAGCCAAGATTGCACCACTGCACTTCAGTCTGGGCGACAAAGCAAGACTACAACTCAAAAACAAAAACCAAAGAGTACCTCTGAGAAGCTAAATAGTAGACTAGACACATCTTAGAAAAGAATCACTGAGCTTGAGGATGTCTCAATAGAAAGCTCTCAAACTGAAAGACAAACAGAATATCCAAAAACTGAGATGATGAAATAAAGGTATTACTCTGCCTCATGGGAATACTAGAAGAAGACAGAGGAAGGAACAGAAGAAATATTTGAAGCAATAATGATTGACAATTTCCCCAAATCAATATGGAACATGAAACCACAGATCCAGGAAGCTCAAAGGACACACAGGATAAATGCAGAAAATCCTTCAAAACCAAGAAACAAATGAACAAAAAGTGATGTTTCTGTAGAAACTGTGCAAACCAGGAGAGAGTGGAATGAAATATTTAAATGTTGAGAGAAAAAAACCATGACCAACCTAGAATGCCGTGCTCTATGAAATTATCCTCCAAAAGTGAAGGGGAAATTAGGACTTTCTCAACAAACAGAAATTGAAGAAATTTGTTGCCAGTAGACCTGCCTTGGAAAGAATGTTAAGAGAAGTTTTTCAGAGAGAAGGAAAATGATAAAAGTCAGAACCTCAGATCTACATAAAGAATGAGCATTGGCCGGGGGCCGTGGCTCACACCTGTAATCCCAGCAATTTGGGAGGCCGAGGCGGGCGGATCATGAGGTCAGGAGATTGAGACCGTTCTGGCCAACATGGTGAAACCTCATCTCTACTAAAATACAAGAAAGTTAGCCGGGCATGGTAGCGCATGCCTGTACTCCCAGCTACTCGGGAGGCTGAGGCAGGAGAATTACTTGAACCCAGGAGGTGGAGGTTGCAGTGAGCCGAGATTGTGCCACTGCACTCCAGCCTGGTGACAGACCGAGACTCCATCTCAAAAAAAAAAAAAAAAAAAAAAAGGGCTTAATTATTAACTTTAATAACTGAAAGTAAAAGAAATCTTAATTTTTCTTACTCTTCATTGATTTATTTTTCTGAGACAGGATTTCACTCTGCCACCCAGGCTGGAATGCAGAGGTGCAATCACAGCTCACGGCAACCTCCATCTCCCTGGCTCAAGTGATTCTCTCACCTCAGCCTCCTGAGCAGCTGGGACTACAGGCACATGTCACCACACCTGGTTAATGTTTTGTATTTATTTTAGTATAGATGGAGTTTTGCCATATTTCCCAGGCTGGTCTCGAATTCCTGGGCTCAAGCCATCCACGTACCTCAGTCTCTCAAAGTACTGGGATTACAGGTGTGAGCCACTATGCCTGGCCTCTTCATTGGTCTAACACATGACAGTTTGTTCAAAATAATAGCAATGATATATTCTATTATGTATACTAATATATGTGTCTGTGTTCATATGTAAGTGAAATGAATGACAGCAATGATATAAGGATGGGAGGGAGGAATTAGGATTTTTTTTTATAAGATATGCACACTATGGCCAGGTGTGGTGACTCACATCTGTAATCCCAGCACTTTAGAAGGCTGAGGCAGGCGGATCACCTGAGGTCGGGAGTTCAAGACCAGCCTGACCAAAATGGAGAAAATGTCTCTACTAAAAATACAAAATTAGCTGGGCATGGTGGCGCATGTCTGTAACCCCAGCTACTTGGGAGGCTGA